TGCATCTGCAATATGAAATGGAGACACAAAAGACTTGTAAAAGATGCTGGGACAAACACGTCCACTTTGAACATCAGGTTCCTGGCCGCCAAAGTAATCGTTACACCCAACACTGTGGATCTGGAAAAATCTTTGATAGCGGACATACCTCAAAACCCTGTGACCCTTTTAACAGTTGTGGTCATTTTTCTAACCTACCTTGTTTTGGCCCTCTGGGCCATGAAAAAAGACAAGGCTGACAAAGTCACCAAGGACAAGATTATCGTTCTGCCAGACAATGACCCCTTTGACAAAGTGTGCTTTTTAGTCACCTTATACACAGGCAGTCGCTTCGGAGCCGGAACCACTGCAGATGTTTTTCTTCAACTCATTGGCCAGGATGGCACAAGTGATGTCCATTGCTTACAACACCCACATTTTCCATCTTTCCATCAGGGAAGCACAGATACTTTTTTGTTAACTACAAAGAAAGACTTAGGAGAGATTTGTGCCTTGAGGGTGTGGCACAATAACCAAGGGCCTTCTCCAAGCTGGTTCCTAAGCAGAGCCAAAGTTGAAAACCTCTACACTAAGAAGAGCTGGTTCTTTCTTTGCCGCAGGTGGCTTGGTCTCGGCAAGGATGACCACTTACTCGAAAGGACATTTTTTGTCATGAATCCAAAAGCACATCTGTGCAGAATGGACTATTTTTTGATTAATCTTGCTGAAAACCTGATAGATGGTCACCTATGGTTCTCCATTTTCGCTCATACTATCACTGGCACTTTCAGTAGGCTTCAAAGGCTATCATGCTGTTTGGCAATATTACTATTAAACCTGCTTGTTAACATTATGTTMTTCAATGCTGACAAAAGTGAAGAATCCCCATTACACTTGAGATATTTGAGATCAATAGCAGTAGGCGTTGAAAGTGCTTTGATTACCATACCTCTACAAATGCTTATAATTGCCCTATTTCGGTATTCCCAGAAGGCACCTTCTTCCTGGGCAGTAACTGAGAAGAACCCAAAGAAAATTCCATCCATCACCTCTCGAAATCTTGAGAACTGGAAGGAACACTTATCAAAACGGTGCCTCTCAGAAACTTCTGTACAGTCCAGAAATACCAGTCTCTCGGAGAACTTGCCTGGTGCTAGCCATTCACAGTGTCTCCAGAATTACCAACAGAGAAGAAACAAAGAAACTTCCCAAACATGGAGTAACTGCACAATTTYTGAAAGAGATGCAAATGTAATTGTAGCAGAGGAGACAGCAACAAAGGTTATGGCTAGGCAAAGAAGACAAGCATCAAATTCCAATTTTAACAATAATACCGCATTAGAAGGGGACAACTTTCAGACGGAGAAGACAACACTAAGCAATACCTCCACATCCTTTCRCAAGAGACCACACATAGTTTTGTGCTGGTGGTGYGTCTATTTCTCCTGGGCATTAATTATAGCTGCAGCTGGCCTATCATCATTTTTCATTGTATTGTACGGCTTGTCTTATGGCTATCAGACCTCATTAGAGTGGCTTTTAGCATCTGCAATCTCCTTTTTTGAGAATGTGTTCCTTCTCCAAACCCTAAAAATCATATTTTTGTCAGCTCTGAGTACTGTCCTTCCAAAATATTGTGAAAGTATTGCATGGTTAACTCAGGAAAATTATTCAGAAATTAAGTTGGATAAAACAATGGAGAGTGCAGATGAGATGAGAGAAAGGCACTGCAAACTTGTTAAAATCAGAGGCAGCAAGCAGTATMAACCTTTAGAAGCTGATGAGCTTGCAGCCATTTTGAAAAAGGCAAAAACTAAAAAGAAAGTTCTTGTTTTTCTAAAGGATATCATTAGTCACTTTGCATTTTTAACACTTATATTATATCTTGCCTATTCTACTGAGAACACCAATAGTTTTTACTACAACCAATTTATTCACGATCAGTTCTCTCCCAGACTTTCCAGTGTAGRTAAGCTAGAACATATTTACACATGGGTGAATGGTGTCTTCTTGCCTTTGCTCCACAATGACATTCAGCCAACCTTTCTTTCTGATAGCTGCTCCAAAACCATTGGATTGCCTCGGRTGAGGCAAGTACGGGCTAAAGATACAGAGAAAAAATGTTTCCGTCCTGGCAGCTTTGTAAACAAATACATGATCAGTAAAAGCCACTGCCTTCATAACTATGGCAGTGACACCCTCGAGAAAGGTGACTATGCTGGCACTTGGATAAAGACTGCSAAGGAATATGTTACAAAGGATGCCAGCAGTTATACTGGATTTACTTACCAGCCAAACAAGACTCCRTGGGTATATTACTCCTATGGAGATTTGCACATTTATGGACCAGCAGGATATCCCTTTTACTTTTTCCCTGCAGAAGGGAGGCRAAATTCAACAACAAGGCTGGATATTTTACAAAAGAGTAATTGGCTCGATGAAAAMACATGGGCCGTGATCATTGAACTAACAACGTTTAATCCAAATGTAAATCTGTTTTGCTGCATCTCAGTGATATTTGAAGTTTCTTATTTTGGGATAGTAAATTCTAGCTTGTCAGTACATTCTTTTGATGTCCCTATTTTTCATCAGCAAACAACAGCTCAAATGGTTGTGTTTGTAATTGTCCTTGTCTTTCTCTTCATTTACATTGCAGATGAACTTCACACCATATGCCGACAAAAGAAAGATTACATTAATAATATTTCCAATATAATCAACTTATGTTTAAAATCAGTATTATTGCTTTTTGTTGTTTTAAAGGTCATAAAGTTTAAGATGGGAGCAGATATTGTGAAATTTTACTTACTTCATCCAAATGATTTCATTCAYTTTCATGCAGTCTCTCATTTAGATGAGTTTTTAAGGATTGCTATGGGATTTTTAGCATTCCTTACAATTTTGAAAACCCTAAGGTATTCCCGATTCTTTTACGATGTGCGCCTAGCACAAAGATCGATTTTGGCAGCTCTTCCTGGAATCTCCTCCATGGCCTTTATAGTCCTTGTGTACTTCTTTGTATTTATGGCTTTTGGCTACCTTGTATTTGGACAACATGAATGGAATTACAATAATATGATTCACTCAGCTCAGACTGTATTCTCTTACTGTGTCTCAGCTTTCAGAGACACTGAATTTTCATCCAACAGGTTGCTGGGAGGTCTTTTCTTAGCCTCATTCATGTTGATGATGATCTGTGTCTTGATTAACTTATTCCAAGCTGTTATTATATCAGCTTATGAAGAGATGAAACAACCTGTATATGAAGAACCATGTGATGAGGCAGAAGTGGTTACTTTTCTGATAAAAAAGATCAGAAATGCATGGTATCTTATGATCCATAAAACACCCAAAACTGGTGATCCAGATCTTCCAAGTATTTTCTATGGGCAGCCTCAGAGGAGACATCACCRACATTTAGGGCTCAAAAACAGAAAAATAAATGGGAAAAAAATGGTTTATCTAGTGATATGAGGGGGAATATTGTATTTAGCACCAATTTTACTCTGTGCTATTTACTTTTCAAATAAATGCTCATCAATGTTGAACTTCATTGGTTGTTCTTGCCTAAATTGGTCAGTAAGTTTTAAGGAATTYCTCACACTCAGACWCTTGCCTTGGACTATGTTCCAGTTYTCTCCAGACTTTCGGTTTTGTATGCACCTCAGTGGTACTTTACCACGTCATGGGAGCTGATACCCCTTTTACATAGACTCTGATTAAAGAATAAGACCATGAAGAGTCATCTTGCCTCTGGCAACGAGGGTATGGGCAGCTCTGGGCTAATCTATACCTATAAGGGTCAGCACTATACCTAAAACAGGTCAGCACTCTGAAAATGGTGATAAAATCTGTACTTCTCAAAGTATAAGGCATATAAGACGAGGGATGATGGCATAAAACAGGCTTTCCGAAGGACGCTTCTTGCTGAAGAAAGCTGTAAGGGCAGGTTAATTGAGGGATTTGTTTTACCCTCAAAGGCATAAAAGGCCGTTACTTGAGTAGACTCAAATACAAAGAAACGTCTGATGCCGGGATCACTGCAACATCCTTTCTGACCCGGCCCCTCATGAAACCAACTGCAAGTTAGGAAACCCCACTGGCTTATCTCCCGACATGCGGAGCAGCCATGTYTGCAGTGCAACTGCTCCTCTGCCCCAGCACTATTGTTGTCTTAGCCTTGTCCCTGTCCCATTTATTTCACAATGGCTGTGTAAAGAGTAATCAGTGGCAAATACTTTTTCTCCTGCTTGCAATTTGTTTTTATCAACTCTGAAGAGGTTCAGCTACCGAGTGCAACCAACGGCATTTCCCCAACACAGGCTCCATAAGAAGTGCCACTTGTTTTGCTGAGCCTCGTAGAAAGGAGGGCTCCCAGGTATGCCTGTCCTCCCTGCATGTCAGATGTCCTCCCTGCRTGTCCCATGCTTTCCTGCACTCCCAACTCACACCACAGAAAGGCAAGCTTTCTGAGCCAAGGGACATTACTGAATAAACATCATGTGCAGGACTAAAGGGGGTAGGGAAAGAGAGATTGTACACAGCCTCCTTCTCCAAGCGAGTCCATGGTCCTATAAGGGAGATATAGAGACTCGAGGAAAAAGAAATTGCATCAAAGGGCACCGCACGGCAACACACTCTTACCAATCCTTAGTGAAGGAGTGAACTCTCCAACAGGGATCAACTAGGGCAGGAGAAAGATGCATAAAACCTGATTTCTTGTACTGTTGCTGTTTTCCTGGGAAAGACAAAGTACAAAACCACAGGTAAGTGGGACACCAACACAGTATCTTTTTAGGGCTGTCACATACGCTAGAGATGCCAATCCACCTGCAGATTTGTCCATACTACCTTGCTCTGCATTTCTCCAGAAAGGTGGGGGAATTTTTGGTGCTCAGACTGTTCATTTTACCAGAGATTTCTATAAAACAGGGCTGTCTTACCCAGMCAGTGTGAGCCAGACCGTGTCTGCAGCAGCATCTTCTCCAGCTGGCCCCTCTTGCTCTTCCATATCTAACAAGGCAACTCCAGATGTGGTCCCTGAGGAAATTTCCACACTCTTTGTCTATTGATTTGACCCCCAAAAGCCAAGTATTGCAACCTGTGAGGTGTAATTCAGAGCAAGGACGGCATTACAAGCTTGTTTTTCCTTCAAGCCCATTCCAGATCAGGGAGGTTTCCTATGTCCCCCAGTCCCAATTTCGAACTTGTGTAGAAGCTGGGGCTATTATTGCTAATAGATAACTACAGTATCTATTGTATAACTACAGCTCACGATGGAGAGAAAGAAAAAGAAACCTTAGTAGTGCCTCATTACAGAGCAGATTTTGTTTGTGCCTAGTGGTGTATTGCATCTATATGGGTGGTTTAGAGCGCCTCATACTTTTCAAGTCATTCATGCATCCTGAAAAGTGAATTTAATCAAATTCATTTTTATTTGCCAACTTAAGGAAGGAAAAAAAATAAAAATAAAAAATAATAATAAAAAAAAAAAAAGACACGTTAGTGCCGTAGCTAAATTCAGCGCAGACTGCTTTTACGGTGACGTTATGAACCTTCTGCGTATTGACCTCCTCCCAGCAGCTCCGTTCTACGGCAAGCAAACTGCCAGCAAACAGACAGAGACACCGCGTGTCACCGTCGGCGTTAAAACACAAGGCGCACGCGCCTCCTCCCGTCTGCCCGGCGTTAGCGGCGTGCGCAGCGCCGCGGCCAGCTGGGAGCCCGCGCGGCCTCCCGCGAAACGCCCGCGTTTCCCGCGGGGCGACGCGAGATCTCGCAGGAGCAGGTCCCCAACGCGCCCTTAGAGTCGCCGCCGCCGCCGCCGCCGCGCCGGGTTCGCGACGGTCCCGGGCTCCTAGGCCGCCGTTAGGCCGAGCCGCGGCGCCCTCTTCCTCCTCCGGGCGCGGGTGCCAGGGAAGGCCGGGGCCGCCGGCAGGAGCGCCTGCGGGCGCGTGCGGAGGTGGGGCTTTAATGACCGTGGCAAGTCCAGGGAAAGCCCCCGGGTCCTGGGAAGCTCTGGCGTTTCCAGGAGCAGGTTGCACCCGAACGAGGCTTTTCAGCGTCACGGCTCTGTACCGAGGCCGTCGGAGAGCCGTGGAGACAGCTGTTCAGTTCCCCTTGAAACCGCGAGGACAGGGATTTTCTAGGAGGTGCGGGGCGTGAGGAATCACAGCTTCGTTTCGGGAGGTATTGCAAGAACCCCAGCGAATCTGCCCATATCCCAGAGCAGGGAAAGGGTCTGACTGCTCACAGAGAGCCCCTGGTCTCACGGCGGCCCCTCAGGTTTAATCCAGACTTACCTGTTACTGGTCTTGCACTTACACTTGCCTTATTACCTGTCTRTCAGGCACCGGGGCTGGTGGGAGCTGCCATCAAAGTGACCTAAGCTGTGGCTCGGGCCCGTGGACTAAATCTCTTGAGCTGCCTTCCCCATGCAGGCCTCWGGATGGTGTTTGTGCCCTCGCAGTCGGCTATATCCGCGCGTGACGGGTGGGTTTTTTGTGCACTAGTTAAGTTGTTTCATTTAGGATTTTCCCTGTGCTACAATTTTACCACTACGCTTTTGGGGGGAATCAGTAGAGCTGTAAAGATACCATATGATCATTTGTTTCCTTTACTTGCTATGGTTTATAAGTTGCACTAATTTGAACCTCTGCCTTTAGATATATCCATACACACACTGAATGTTTTTAATATAGACACAATTTAAGTCTTCATGTTTCAGGATGCCTTATCAGGATGTTGTTTTCTTCTTGCCTTAGATTCCCAGGTAAAGGGAAGAGTTGATCAGACAAAACAAAGATACACCAAGGGCATTACTTGCCATCTTGCCTACAAAAATCAGAATCCCTGAAAGGTAAGTTCTTTGCACATGCATGGCAACCTGGGTTGGCCTGTTCTGTTTAATAAGATTTCAATTTCAGTTTGATAATGCGGAAGACTTGGATTCTGTTATTAACCTCATTATGAGTGATGATTTGCTGCATAGGCTTGTTGAGACACTAAATTTCCTAGCTTGTACATTACCCTTACATTGCCATGTTTGCTAAGAGCTTTTACTAGCTTTAAAAAAAAAAAAAAAAAAAAAAAAAAAAAAAAAAAAAAAAAAAAAAAAAAAAAAAAAAAAAAAAAAAAAAAAAAAAAAAAAAAAAAAAAAAAAAAAAAAAAAAAAGTACTTCTGTCTTATCTTTCTATTTTCATGTTCACTGTCCTGAAAGCATGTAAATAATGCTGTTTTCCTATAAGGTCTCCTTCTATCTATGCCAGAATAATTTTCCACCAGACCCCCTACTCCCCGTCTGTTCACTTAATTTGTCATAGTTTTCCTAATATAAGCCAAGTTAATGTATTGCCGATCGATCACACTTAAATGTCTACATATATACAGAAAGGAAATATACATTTAAACCTCTAACATWACACATCACAGAGTTCTTAAGTTATATCCATCTGTAGCTGTATCTAGTTCTGCTGACTCTTACCATAAACATGTGTGGTATATCATTTCTATGAAGACCCCGTGAACTCTGCTACTTACTTAGCTCTGCTCTATAGTCCATACTCTTCACGTGGACCTTAGTATAATTTTAGATCAGTCCACCCATGCTCAACAGAGAGCAAAAGAGCCAAAGGCAAGTTAATAAGCATTGTGATTCTTTGAGGATGCTACTAATTCTGACTGAATGTTGAACCTCCTGGCAGACAAGCAAGAGCTGCAAACTTTTTGCACATCTGCACTCCTAGCATGTGACTGGTAGCAGCATAGAAATGTGTCCAAAAACTTGCAGAGGAGGAGGACATAAACACACATGTTCTGCAAAGCAGGCTGTGCAGACTGCAGAGCATGCACGCAAGTTCAGTGGCCTGTGGTGCAGAATATCTCCCCCTGTTTAGGAACGAGTATAATTGCCCTGTTTCATGCAGGAAGATATGGAAACAGTTGTTGTCAGAGTGTCTGTCTGGAAATTATTTGATGAGAGTGTTGAAAGGAGCAAATTCAGCTTTAGTTCCTGCACATTTTTTAGGCTTAATAATTCAAATAATGATTGGGGAGCCAAGTCTTTCCGAGAGGAACAGACTAATCTGAAAACATACCAAAAATTCACACCATTGGTGCGTGGTGGAATTCATATTATTTGTACTGTTCTGTGATTAGATAACAAGGATTTACTGTATGCATGACTCAGGAAGTCTGAAAGCCACTAGTCCACACCTGGAGAATTAGTATCAAATGTAAGCTGTGATGAAAGAAAAAGAAGAAGAAACAAAAATGAACAAAAACCCTTGAAGTTGAGGGGCAGGCCAGGGTAGGGGGAAGGATACCTGTTTGTAAGCTTGTGTGCCAAAATTCCCACCAAGTGCCCTGGAAAAGAAAACTTTCTAACAGCTCTTTGGGAAGGGGCTTCTTGTTTTCTTGAGCATGCTGAGAGAGAGTATCCATCTCTTCAGTTTTCCTCATTGCTTGCTGTTCACCATAGCTGAGGCAAAAAAACCCTTGGCAAACCAAGTGCTTTGCAGGGGAAAGCAACAGTGCCTGTAGGAAGGTGCCTATGTGCATGGGAAGAGTGGGGCTACGTGCATTGGGAAGTTATATATGTAGTAGGTACAGGAGTTTGTTTTGTGTGCTTGGGCCTTTTGAATCTGACACTGTTTAGCTGGTACCCCAAGTAGTTTTTTGTTTTCCTTTTTAAAGATTTTCCTCTACTTTGCTATGTCACCCTCRTCTTGAGTGCAGCCATAACAAGCTGAGAGCATCAGTCACATTTAAAGAATTGACTTCTCCAGGTACGTTAATCCTGAGCTTCTTGTCGGTCTTAGAGGACAGTGGGCACTGGCTCTCACACCAAGGCCATCCTACTGCACAACCCCGAATGAGGGTGCTGAGTATTTCCTTACAGGTGCAAATTTGCTTACTGGAGGGAGATAAATCACTGAAGCTATATTTACTGCTTCCAGGATTATGTTAACTTGCAGTGTCTTATTTCCCGATACACTGTGTTACGCTCTCCTTGTGTATTTCCACCAAATCTTGCTGTTYCTAATTTTAGACTACGTTGGAAAGTGTTGCACTAAGTTTAGATTGTGCTTAACCATGCTGATACTTTTCACTGGTACGTGTGTGGCTCTCCTTTTTTTTTCCTTAAAGGACGACTTAAAGGGAACTATCCTCTCTTATGTATTAATAGTGTCTCACCATCCTGCTCATTACCCACTTATGGATATTAATCTAACAAAGCTATAATAGGGAGCTACAGTTTGAAAGGGAGCCAAAATCAGTCAGGACAGGAGGTGACCTTTGGCCATAGCATGCTAATTTATTGTGGCTGTATCAGAAGAGAGATCTGGCAAAGTCAAACCTCAGATCTGGTACCGCTTGTGTAAGGAAGGAATAGTTATAACCCACAATCTGATAAAATTTCAGTGTTTGCATCTACTATGTTGCCTTCTGTGCATTGTGTCCCAATAACTGTACTGTGACAGGAGGGACAAATTTGCCTTCCCTTGCTTTAATTTCTGAGCCATTTTATATACAAAATGTTAGAATAGGATCATGGATGATAATGCAATAAGCTTGGTGCTCTGACCAGGAAAATCTTTTGGAATTGAAAAAAAAGAAAGACAAGAGTCGAGTGGAAAAACAGATATGGCCATGCATATATTATTTATTTATTTATTTATTTATTTATTTATTTATTTATTTATTTATTCACTCACAGGAAGGAGAAACTAATAGTACTGTAGTTCTCCCACCTCTATTTAGTATTGTTTGGGAGTAATGCTTGTTCTGTCATGCAGTGGTGAAGTCCACCATTCTCCACACCTCTGCAGCCAGATGTCGGTATGGCTTTTGCTGTGTACTCTTGGCAACTTGCTACTGCTTTACCCTACTATTCATTCGCACTGTGGTGATCTGCTTAGTTATGTTTTTACAACTGAGTCACTCTTTAACAGCTTGAGCTGAGCTGCTAAAACAAGATTCCTTAGCAGCTACCCGTAGAAATACAGCCAGTCCTGGGTGAGCAGCCACAGCTCTGATGTGCCCACGGGGGGGCAGTGGTACATGCCTGTTAATCCCTGCCTTGTTGCAGCATTCCAGTGTGAAACTGTTAAGTTCTCACCTAATTCTTCTCTATTAAATGCTGTATAATTCAGAGCTGGCTGCCTACCCTAGTCAAGTAGGGTGTACTTGGGTTAGATTGTTTTTGTACAAGCATTGTGTTGATTGCTCAGCTGTTAAAAAACACATATCTTAGGAATAAATGCTTTGTTAGGATGCATCTTGTGTTCATAAAGCTTTTTTTTTTTTTTTACCCAAGAAAATGTTTTGTTTTGCTCATATATATTATTCTCCTCTTCTGACACCCTCCTGTTCAAACATTCTCTATGACCATTCAGAAAAAAAATGCTCCCTTTCACCTCTAAAATGACCTTCAGGGCTACCTGCATAGATGAGGAGGTAGCCCCTAGGAGGGTGGATATCCTAACGCCGCAGCGAATCCTAGATCCCATGCAGGCAGCAATGAAAAAGGAGGGCTGAGGCCTGCTGCATGAGCCCTACCTGGAAAGAAGCTGTGCACTGCAGGGATCTCGGTTCCTTCAGAGCAGACACAATACCAGCAATAGCCCGTGGCCTGAAGGCAGAAGTTGCTGTAGCAAGCGTAAGGCTCAGTTCAGTCGAGGGATCTTTGGGGTATGCAGTGGGCATCAAGTTCCCAGGGGCTGCACTTGGTGAACTTGCATTCCTGGGCTAATTAGTTACTTAGCAAAGTAAGTCAGCTCAAAGGAAGAGCAAGGAGGCAGCCAACAAGTGGCCTAAACCTGTCTTCAGGGCAGTAGCATGAAGGAACTGGAGGGAGAGAGTTGTTCACCTAGGGATTAACTGGCGAGTAAGAAGGTGCTGCTGTTTCATCTATTACATGAGCAATTAGGTCACATCAGTTTTCTAAAGGAGGTGAGTGTGTTTTTGCTGCTGCAGTATATTTAATCTTATACCACACCAAATACTGCAGAATTATTTGGCATTTAGCAGACTCTGAATTCAGTGGCTCCTAGCAGTCTAGTTGAGAGCAGTATGTCTCACAGAGGATCAAGCTGAGAATGTTTTAATAGGTTATCATCATCACTGGATAGTACTGGAAAAACTTGGCAGGAAAAACAAGGCTTTAATTTGATAGGATTAAAGGTGTGTCAATGCTGGGTTTATCTGCCACCCTTTAAAATCTAAGCCTGTGTTTGTAAGCAGTTTCTTGCATAGTTTTTCTAGTTTATCAGTGACTCAGAAATACATGAGTCTCCCATAGAGAATTAAGAGGGGCTTAAGCTTTGCGTTGTAAAGACCTATGCTAATAAGGTTTGAAGCAAAGAAAATCAGATTACTTATCTGTACCACCACTTTGTCACTGACCCTGACAATTTAATGGTGATTTATTATTTCTGGCATGCCGTCCAGGCCTGTTAGCAGAGTGCTCCAAGCAGAACTGCCCTGAAATTTTTAGGAGTCCCTAGAGAACTGCACCGAGAGCTGTTTCCCTCCATCCGTATCGCATATCAAGCGCAGCGTGGAGAAGCACTGTTATATCACTGCTATCTGAGTTGTGCCCTCCTTTTACTGCAGTTATTTACTTAGTACTGTGCTCAAATTTGCGTGCTTCAGCTCTCGCCATGCCACAGGGGCCAGCCTCACACGTGTCTTGCCGTGGTCTAGGCTTGACTTGGCGGGTTTCTGCTGAGCGTGCCGCTTCAGGGTTTGATTTGTCATCCAGCATGTGTGGGTAGCTGGGCCCTTTTCAGAAGTGCTATGTATGTGCTCAAAGTAAGTATGTGTTTAAGTACCTTGCGGCTTGCAGCCAAAATGCCAAATGCTTTGGCAGAATGTAGTTTCTAAATAGGCTGTTCTTAAAGACTTCTTCATTGCATCCAAGTTAGCCAACATTTGATATGTTTCTGGGGCATGGCACTTCAAAAATTCCCGAAGAAAAGAGGAAAAACCCAGTGATAGCACTGGTGATCTTTTGAGTCACTTGAGGTCACAGAGTTGCCTGCTCTGAATATAAAGGAACTAGTCTTGTGGCCTTTGTATCCTTCTCAAGAGAGCAGTCCTCCCATAGCTTGCATGCTAGAGAGACACTAGTTCTCATTCTTTATCCATATGTTTGCTTGGAAGAGAGGCAAACAACTCGTTAGAGTCATACTATTGAACATTTTGCTAAGGTTGGGTATAGGGGCAAACAAATGAATTTGCTTAGCAATAAACCAGAGTGCTTGTCTTGACTGTGCTTTTCATCCCAAACTGCTTCTGCACATTAGTTGTCTGACATAAAAGAATAGTTTTCTTTTTTTAACTGCAGAAGAGTATAAGTACTAAGAGCTTTGTTAATATGATTCTACTTTGTAGTTTAGCACATGGGCATAAGTTTAAAAATTACCAACTTACTAAACCTTGAGTTAGTGACCTTATTTTTCCCCAGTGCTGCTATGTAGACAAGTTCTCAGGACAAATGCTGTTCCCATGAACTGAAACTTGGTGCAGCTGATGCCAGTGACCTGTAGCTTGGAGTAAAATGGAAAGCATCATAAATTCATATGTGCCTTGCAGGCAGGATCATATGCTTTTCAACTGGCATGGCCAAAAATCTGTTTGTACATAGATATCATTCCTTCCCAGTGGTAGTCACTGAACAGATTCTGTTCTACATGCCAGCAGTCTATAAGAGAGCAGGTGTTTYTATATCTAACGTACTTCAGTTCTGAACCCAGGGCTGTTCTCCTGACTTGGAATCAGGACACATTCATTCCAAAGTCTGTGATTCCTACTGCTATAAATACTCTTTTTTTGTTGTTGTTCTTAATTTTTTTTGGTTTGTTTAAAACAAAATATTGCTGTGACACTTTCTGTATTCAAGTGATCTTCCATACTTTACCTCTACCTGCTTAACTATTTTCCCTTAAAAAACAAAAGAAAAACCTAGAAGTTGCACACACTGCTCTGAACTGCATTTCAGTCAGACTTTTGGGTGTCCTGGTGTGGCTGCTGGCTGCCTACAGAAAAGGCAACTTTGGGGTATGTTTGGGAGATTTTTCTGGTAACCATAAAATTTAAATGTCAGAAAACAGACTTCTCATTTCAGTCTACATCTGGTTTGAAGAATCCAAATTTTAATGTACAAGGAAAAATATGCAGCATATACCTGCCTTATTTCTATCTGAAAAATCTGAGAACTTTTGTTTAAGTCTCTTAGCATCCCTGTGAGATAAATTACATAATATCCAAAGTTTACATCACTTTCCAAAAGATTAGTGGCATAAGGTATTCAAGGCTTGGATGTATTTATTAGTGCAGTACCCAGACATGTTAAGGTTGGATTTGGAGAGCTCCCTGTGCTACTGAAATGCCAGAAACAGTAGCGGAAAGGGGATGGGTTAGGAGTGAAGGAGTTAGTTTCACAGGATAAGGGAGGCTGCAAACTTAAGTTTAAGGATTTAAGAGGCTGAGGCTTTATGAGCTGAAGGACCATTATGAAACCTGTGTAACGGCTGAAGATCTTGGGGCTCTCTGTTCTGAAATATTAGATAACAAGTAATCACAGCTCTGCTTCACCTTGCCCCTAATTCACCTTAGCAGCATATGTCTGTAAGGATTCAGTTTCACCACCTAGGGTGAGCAGAAATAGCAGCTTACTGTCACTGAAAGAGGGAAATATAGGTCCCTCATCTCAGCTCTCCCCTTCTTCTGGCTGTGAAGTTTTGCCCCTCACCTTGGGCTACCATTTGCAGTTGTTGGATCACTCCATAAGACAGTTTAGCTTAAGGAAAAGAGAAGGTAATTCTCTTATTTCTGAGTGTCAGTGACTGGTAAGTAGTGTGATGAGGTAAGGCTGAAATCATAGATTGTGGTAGCCTAATCCAGCTTTGCTACAAACCCATCGTTTTCATGGAAATCTCCATGCCATGGAAAGTCTGAGGACTTTTAGCTAAAAGCTTGAATTTTCTAGCCATCTGCAGGGTAAATGCAACCATTCAAGAGAACGTTGCAGGTGAACAAAGATACCCAATTTGCAAACTGTATTTTCTATCACATTTCATTCATGGATCTGTGGGAGTTTGGGGCACTGTGTTTGAGTTGATCATCTCTACACACAGAATCCTAAAAAATACTTTCTGTGCAGTGCTTTTGGCAAACTGAAGGGTATTACTCTCAAAGTGGTGTGAGTTACCAAATGTAAGTCAATGGCAAGGATTTTAAGCAAGTTGTCTTTTATGCACCCGAAATGATGAAAAATGGCTTCCTAAAGCTCTCATGCTAGCAGTGTCTCATGACTGACAGCTGCACCTTTTGTCATGAGTGTCTGAAGTATTTTTGATAGTGGTCAAAATCTTTCCTGTGGATTCTTGATGCGTAGAAGCATGGGTCCATGTTCCTTTTTTTTTTTTTTTTNTTTTTTTTTTTTTTTTTGCCTGTATGGACAAACCTGTATGTTTTCTTTAAAAATTATAGGACCTAAACATTTTGAGGGTATTTCCTTCTCTGTCCTGGTTCATTTGTATGGGTTAATACTCTAGATAGGCACATAATGTGACTAGATCAGCCTTATTTCACTTGGAAGCCAGATAATAACAAGCAGATGGAGTTAAGCTCCCCAAACCGTTTGGAGGTGACAGTCAACACCCAAGAAAACTGTATATAGGCGTTCTTATAAGTCAACCATTGCAACACTATCCTTTCTGGTACTGGCCTCCTGAGTGGAGTCCCACTCCTTCCACAGGTTCCATTTGAAGTTTGTGAGAGGAATTGGATGTGGCAGCCCTGGATGGGGATGTTGCACACCGGATGGGGAGGTGCTTATGGAGCACAAGCCTTGGTTGAGCAAAGGGTTCTTCAGGTCACGGCCACGTACTTTGTTACCTAACCTCTTTCTTCGAGTAAAGCTTCTTCAAGCTGTAAATTAGCAGGTGGGTTTTTATAGCTAGGCTCCAAGGCTGTAATTTCCAAACCTACCTGAGGAATTTGGAAATGTGTCCAAGGCCTGGGAAATGAATTTGCTTTAGGAGAAATTACCTGCTAATCGAAGTTTGCAACAGTTCATTCCCTGCTGAATATGAATTTGCATAGCCAGATGTCCCACATTAGTTCAATTATCCTCCAAGTATTTTCCAAGTACAGTATTTTGGAGCTAAAAGATTTTTTTGTTGTTGTTTTCTTGTAGGCAGCTTAAAAATGGAGTCTCGCAAAGAAGCTCAGCCTAAAGGAGAGTTTAAATGTCAGTTATGTGGCTTAACAGCTCCATATACCTACTATGGGCAGAAGCCACCAAACACGCGCTCTATTGTGTGAGTACCATTTTTAATATTATAGATTTTATTTATGCTATGGGAATGATGCTGTGGAATGATGTGGAATGATGTATGCTACATAAGCTCAATAACATGTCACATAAATATCAGGCTTGGGGTTTAACATAAACTGCATTTTCCAAAGGAAAGAAATGTTAAAAATTGTCAGCATTGATAGGAAAGAAAGAAGGAGGGGAAAAAAAATAAAACCTTTTTCATCCTGCTTCAGCACAATGCAAAGATTCATATTTAATCTATTTCCTAACCACACTGACCACCGTGCAATTTAACTATACCATAATTTTCGTAATAGAATATTGTTGATTGTCAGCATAGCATTTCTGGGAATAGCCCTTTACCTCACAACTGTATCAGCTGAGTAATACTGTAAACACAACATGAATTATGTACATATGTTAAAAACACATCTTAAGTGCTGTTTAATATTTGAAGTTTCAAATAGCTTTTTTTTTTCTTTTTTTTTTCTTTTTTTTCTTTTTCTTTCTTTTTTTTTTTGCATGAATTAGGTAATTTGGCAGAATGTGTAGCTCTAAAATGTGTGGAAATTTAATACATAATTACATTTCAAGAGGCTGAAGCATTTTCCTTCCCTATCACAAAGGGATAGTTTGCTGAGAAATTATGCGTTTATGACTCAGTCTGCAGACATTAAACTCCCCACAAAACAAACATTTTGCTTTAAATGTATGAGCAGCTCTTTTGAGGCCATCGTGGTCAATGAACCCATCAGGCAGACATGGTTAGGACCTCACTGGAACTGGAAGTCAGGCATATGCTCAGTGTTTCAGCCTACTGAGACTGCTCAGTTACTTGTAAAATGGAAACAGCTGTTGGTCAGTGCCTGCTTGGGCTGAGATCAGTTCTGTTATCTTTGGGCAGCTGTGTTTGTATCACTCCAAGTTCTACAGTGCTGCTACTAGTTTTCTTCCTTCCTTTCTGAAGAGAGTCAGGCCCTCATGTAAAGAATCTGAATTAAAGCTGAATATGGCTCCTGCTTTACAATTTCCCCAGCTACTTGTTAGCATCTTGGCTTTATTTAAATCATTCAAATTCAAACAGCAAAAGCATACTTGGGCTCTAATAATAGCACTTCCATATGTGCACAGGAGAAATGCCTTTAGAGACTGCCTTTTTTGATTTATTTTCTAGTCTGCTCATAGACCTAAGCACTGCAGGAAATGTATGCCTACCATGGAGGCTTGTACAACGGCCAGGTCTCTGCACTGGTGACAGTTATGTTATTTCTGTGAGCCTTGCAAGGGGAGCTTTGCAAACATAATCCAGTCTTTGGATTACAGCATTGGAAGACTTGTTGTCAAGGTGTTCTCCCAAGCTAAGACACTGGTCTTTCCTAACAGCAAAGGCTTGAGCCATACTGTTCTTTGAATGGAGGGGAAAGTGAGAAAGGAATACACTCACAAATACGCACATACAAATGTTTTTGTATGTATGTGAAGGCACAAGTAAAGGGCAGTACAAGGTGTCCGAGTATCTTTTGTACTCCATTTTACTACAGTGTTCAAGTCTGATTTATATAAATAAGCCAGCTGGGCAACGTGTCCTGCGCAGACATTCACCAAACTGAGTTCAATAAGGCTTTGCCTGGAGGTCTCAAGAGGAATAAGGCATTAGTCTTTCCCCAGCAGGTTGACAAGTTGCTGGTAAATGCACTCCCTTAATACCCTGAAGCAAACAGAACAAACAGTCTCAGAGATAAGGTCAGAATGTTTCAGATCATTATAATGTGCTCTGTGCTAATAGCTCCTGCCTGTAAGAGACAGGAACCGTAACTTTACAGCAGTGGCATAAGAGTAGTAAAAGCTCTTTTTATTCTATACCTGTACACATATATCTTTTAGAGAACAGATAATTAAAAGTTCTACGGTTGAGATGATAACTTGAGAAGGTACTTGAACTGGCCGTGTGAAGGGGTGCCTGTCAAAAATGAAAGACTAAAAAAAAGCACTTCAAGTGGAGCACTGAGATAATCCTAGCAAGGCCTCGGATGATCACCAGTTGCTCTGTTTTGAGGAGGGAAGGGCCACATTTTAAGTCTGAAGGCAAGCACAAGGTTGATTTTAAAAAGGAAGGAAGCTCCAATATCACTTGTGCAACTCTAGGCACTGCAAACCAAGGGTAGAGAACTGCTGCCTCCCTCTGATTCTCTGTTTGAGCTCTTCCTCCACCCATAAAAGCTTGGAATTATTCTCTTCCAGGATTTTGGAAGAAAGTTATGTAATGAAGGATCCTTTCACTCCGGACAAGGACAAATTCCTCATCCTTGGGTCTCAGTGCAGTTTGTGTAGCAGATTGGTGTGTGTTGGTACGGTAAGTAACAAGCAAAACAAGCATTTTGTCACTTCTTTTTCATCCAGGCCCTGTGACTTATTAGGGAAAGGCCAAACAACAAGAAAGACCCAAGCGGTCTGTTTTTCAGGCACTCTGGTTGTCTGTCCTGTTGGAACTCCCAAATAAAGCTCTTCATATAAGTAAATAAGTAAATCATGAAGTTTAAGTTTTTGCTCTAATTAAAGTTTCCTGTACTTGCACCCCACAAACACAGTGAATGCCCTTTTCCACTATCTTAGCCGGTGAAAAATGTGAGGGAGATCATGTATTGTTTCAAGACTCTCAGGTCCTTTCTTGCAGCAATGTAGCACACCAACAGTATTTTATTTTTTCATAAAGGAGATACAAATGTCTACAAGTGGTTTGCACCGTCCTGTTTCTAAAAGCTGAGGTTAGAAAGTGAGCAGGGAGAAGAATTGTGAAGTGCAATGACAGATCTCTGAAGAAGAAGGAATTTGTGTAGCAGCCTCTAGGCAACCTTAAGCTATGAATTCTGAGTGTGGTTCAGAGAGGTGGTGTAAAATTACAGTTGCCCTTAATTCCTTCTCCTCAGTGCAGAATTGGTCCTTTTGTTTGCTGTGAGTTCAAAGTAAAACTGAAGACAAGTTATTACACAATTATCAGTGTCCTGAGGCTCTACTCGGTTTCTTTGAGGCAGTACCATGAACTGAGAAAACATTTTGGTTACACTCCTTTACCTTTGGGAGCCAGTTCTGTGACTGAAGAGCTGTAGGCAAGCCACATACATGGCTCCTGATTGTCACTGAGAGACGTTTGGGCATCTGGTCATTTACACAGCGACATCTGTTTATTAACCTGGACCATTGCCCTCATAGCAACCAGACACAGTGGTCCCTTTATTTTTCTTAAGTCCAGTGTTTCAACGTGAACTGATTTCAATGTGAAATGCAACTGATCTCATTTATGAAAGCACACTTGAGTCCTGAAGATCAGTTTTAGCAGTTTTCGAATTTAAACAATTTCAGCCCATCCGTAATTGCAGCAATCAGGGCCCAACACTGGTGACATGATCCTTGCCTAAAAGTAGCTAGTAACAGGAGTTAAAATAGAGAAGAAGAAAAAAATGTGAATGACTTTGTGAAGATGTGGAATTTTTCCTTCGTGGTATGTTTGGTGGCCAAGCCTGGTGACCAAACTAACCTTTGGCCCTGCTCAGAGCATGAGGCGAGATAATCTGGGTAATGAAACAGCTCAGCTGCCAATGCCAACAATTTCTGTGTGGGAACTAGAGCAAATTCTCTTGCACAAAAGACAGAGTCAAATTACACTAACCAAATTCAGAGGGTTTTGGACAGATGTAGCCAAAAGGAAATTGGCATGCTTGGACAAGTTTAGCTGCAATTGTGACTTGCAGGGCATTCGAATCAAGGGCAAATTTGGTATACTGATCTAAGAGGCAAAAAAGCGTACAAAAACATCCTTCTCCTGGTTGGGTTTGTTTTACGTTTCTGAAACCTCTGTCATTTAAAAGAATGAAAATCACAGAAAAAAAAAAAGTCAGACTACAGGCTGCAACTGAGGTTTGTTTTTCTTCCTGGAATTACTAGAAACCACTCCTGTGGGAGTCTGCTGAAGCCCTCGAGCTCTCTGGTTACGTCTTTGATAGCTGGGCTCAAGCGTGCAGAGCTAGTAGCTCAAGGCTCGCCTTGTACCTACAGTCTGTGTAGGCAAAGCTCACATGTGAGCAAGGGCTTCCTTGTGACAATGTCCTTGTGGGGGCTGGCAGGCAAGTCACCCCTATGAACAGCCAGAGTAAGAGCAAACACACAAGCAATAAAGCTAGTCMGATAGTTGGGCTTATGATCTTAATTCCTGCCCTAACAAGCCAGCTTTATTGTTCGTTTTTAGCAGCACTGGATTTAGTAAATTAGGCAAATTCTGAGCAAACTTGAGCATGTTTTGCTGTTTTCCTCCCCAAATTCTGTGGTTTGAATTCAAGAATTTGACAGATATTTCCCAGTCTAGCAATCACATTTACCAGGAATACTGAGATTCAGCATCTCTGTATTTTTCCGCATACTGTGTGTTAATGAACATGGGGCTCTGCATTTGAAAGCTTTATTAAGTATTTAATTTAGGGCAGGGCACTCTATAGAGGGCATGATCAGTGAGCTAGTGGAAGCCTCTCTTAATCTTTTGACATTCTTGGCTATTTTGGCTATTGTGGAAATATGTTGGTCTTTTACCTGTTTTTATCTAAGTCTTCAAGATACCCCTGATAGTATCACTCAAAGCAAAACCTTGGTTGTAAATAACTGAAAATGGATGTCTTACAAAACTGGCCAGGCTAGATGGTGAATCACACATACAAGTATGGTTACAAAATGTATTTAGCAATACAACTTAGGTAACATTGAAAGAGATTTGCAGAAATGATAATTACTGCTGTAAACACCCACACCAAAGTACGTAAACACAGATTCACAGAATATTTAAGGTTGGAAGGGACCTCTACAGATCATCTAGTCCAACCTTCCTGCTCAAGCAGGCRCACCTACAGCATGTGGCACAGGGAGGCATCCAGGCGGGTTTTGAAGACCTCCAGAGTAGGAGACTCCACAACCTCCCTGGGCAGCCTGTTCCACTATTACATACTATTCCTCTTCCATGTAGGGAAAATTAGAGTGCAGAGAAGTAAAAACTTACCAAGGCTGTGGAGAGACCCGAAGATGGGATTGTAATTCCATAGGTTGTTTTGGTTTCTGCTTGTACTTGRCACAAGTAGAAGATTCAGCCATATTCTGAATATTTCCATCATGTCTTACAACAAAGCATTGAAGGTAAAGAAAAYCATGCTTCCTTGGGCCTTTTGTGGCAGAACAGCAGACTTTTATAATGGAAATCTTTCAGTGACAAGTTACTTTAATTTTTCTGTTACTTCAAAACAGTAGATTAACCCAAGGCAAAATTAGGAGATTTCTCCCTTTATATTTGGCAAAGGTCAAATTGGATTTAGCTCTCTATCTTTTGTGTCCGAGCAGCTGATCAGGTTTTAGCCTTTTCTTGAGATATCCCTTACACTGGTTGGAGTCTCTTTCCTTGCAGTTGGTGTGCAAAGGAAAATTAAAACTTCAGCAGCTGTTCTGTTCTGATCTGTTCTCATTAGCTTGCTTCTTCAAATATTCTTTCAAGTCTCACAAAGTTCGTTTATTCCAGTTAGCTGGCAGCAAATATCACTCTACTAAACCAATCTTTAACACAGTATATGGGTAAGTACTTTGGGTCCAACCATAAGTAGTTCTTCCAGTGATAATCTGTAATGTCTTTAAGTATGCCAAAACACCATATGAAGGAAGATAAAAACAGTGATTTTAAAAAYTCTTAGCAAAATTGACTCCCCTTCTCCCTCTTACCCTTTCAAAAGAGTAGAGAGGAAGTGATAGCTGACGGTATTTGCCATTTAGAACAGTTTAATTCTTTTTGTTGTGACACTAAGTATAAGAATAAAGATGACTTTTGAAGAAGAGAAGAAAATAGGAAGTAGATTTCATCCCGTATTGCTCACCGCAGCAGCCGCAGTGACCTTGAGCATGACTAGGTATTAAGCGGCACACGTAACACTGCAGCTACTTTCCACTCAACTTTCAGTCATGTGAGGACAATCCTGGACGCAGTTAGTAAGATTCTTTCCTTTACAGAGAGTTTCCTTTAGAGGTGTGGTAGAGATCATATCCGTGTGTAATACTTTCAGATATGATCCTTTCGAAAATAAAAAAAAACTCTCAGTGAACTTTGGCAACTTAGTTTTGCCTGAATTGGACTAGAACGTTTAAAATGAAAACTGCCCTGAAAACAGGCCTGGCCCTCTTCTGCCTAGGTTGTGGAAGGAGTAAACCATATCAAAAAAATTATCTGATTAAGTGGAGAACCTTATTAGGATAGTGATCAAAAAGGCTCTTGAATGTACATAGTAAGTGTAAGGCTGAGGGAGCTGGGCCTGTTCAGCCTGGMGAAGAGGAGGCTGAGGGGGGACCTGATCAGTGTCTATAGATACCTCAAGGGAGGCAGTGAGGAGGAGGGGGCGGCCTCTTTTCAGTGGTGGACAGCCACAGGACTAGAGGAAATGGCTTCAAACTGAAGCACCAAAAGTTCCACAGGAACTCAAGGAAGAACTTCTGCCCTGTGAGCGTGCCAGAGCCCTGGCACAGGCTGCCCAGAGAGGTTGTGGAGTCTCCTTCTTTGGAGATCTTTAAAACCTGCTTGGACGCAGCCCTGTGCCMYGTGCTCTGGGTGTCCTTGCGTGTGCAGGGAGGTTGGAATAGATGACCTCTAAAGGTCCCTTCCRTCCTTAGGGATTCTATGATTATATGAAGTGTAGTTTGTAGGGCTTCTAAACAACAGGAAGGCTGAATCATCCTGTACCTGAGAGAACAGGGAAGGACTAAACGTATATGGACACATGCCCCAGAGGTGGAGGAGTTCATATCCAGAACTTTGCCCAAGTGTGATAGGCTCAAATTCCCCCAAATTATTAGGCAGATCACATCAGCTGAAAGAATGCAAGCCGAGTGTTGAGGAGCTGGATGTGAATGTCAGAGTTTGCCCTCTGCAAAAAGGGACAACTTTCCTCCCCTCACCCCTCTTCGCCTTTGCTCAGCATCCTGTGGGGCAGCGTCCATGGCTGTGGGGCAGCGTCCATGGCTGTGGAGCCGCTAAAGTGACCTGAGGTGGGGGCAGCTGTGTGCCCTGAGTGTAATACAAACCACAGCAGGGTCAAATTAAACTTTAATCTCCCCTTTTTAATTGGTATCTTAAAGTATTAAGGATACCAAGAGACAAAAAACAATAGGCTGTAAAGGTTGCACAACTGAAATCCTCTTTCTGACCATTCACGGTGCTTTTCAAGGAGCGGAGCATAGGCTAACAGCACCACTGAATACAAAGAGACCTGACAGGCACTCCAGAAAGGACAACATATGAAGAGAAAGTTGTTCTTTGGGCTTGAGAGTCATAAAAGGGGCAGATAGATTGTGATTTTGATATGGTCATGCATTTCCCCACCCTCAAGTGCAAATAGTGAAAGGGGAAGGCAAAAAGGAGAGAGAAAATAGAAAAGCAGAAACATCCAGGCCAAGTTCCTGGGATTTATGCTGAAGGGAAAACTTTGATTGGTATTTAGGTATAACCCATAGAGCCCACTGCTCACTGAAAGATGTCCTGATCCACCTGAACTGATGTCTTTATTTATGTTTAAATCCCTAAGAAAAATCCATCGGCAACACCAGYTCCAGCTTACCCGTTAAATCCTATTTGGAATTTAGTGATCAGCAYGCCAAGAGAACCATGAACTTCGGCCTTACCCCAGGGCAAAAGAATAATATATTAACAAACTTTCCGAGTTGTGCACTGCAAAACAGAGTGTTTCTTCTTCTTCCTATTCAGTACCTCTCATCTTACTACAGCTAACTACATGAAAAATAAAAAATTGGGTCTGTAACACCAACTAACCAAATCGTAGTTTCATTCCATCTTAAGGGCAGCAAAAATATATCCCTTTTTGCATAAGGGATTTTATACTTCCCCATTATGAATTCAGACAAGAGACATCAACTCCATATTTAATACCACATATGTTTTTGCTTTCTAATCAAAATGTATGTGTTTGATTTTTAATCAAAATAAGATGTTCAAGATAAAAGTGGTGAAAGGATGAATTTTTGGTTACTAGATGAAATTGCAGTTAAATTAAACTCATTTAGTTATTCCCGTCATTCACTGAACGCTTCTGTGGTATTCACTGCTATAATAACTTAGATCTGCTGATGTTTCTTTAGGGCAATACCAAGCACATAGATYGATACAAAAAAAAAAATGTGTTTTGTTGGGAGTTGTGGAGCAAGATGTGACTGAAGTCACCATGAGCCTCCAGCCTATCTTCTTTGCTTGTGTTGGCCATTAGGCCATTATGTGGACACTGGTAGGGGAAGAACTTTCTGACTCTTCAAGACTTGCATGGTAGTGGCGAGAACTTAGAAGCTCCTACTGGGAGAGACAAGTCCTCATAAGCTAAATAGGGAAGACAGAAGATTCTAACTGTAAACATGATAAAGACAGCCTGTAATTTAACTTTTCTGTTTTGTATGTATACTTTTTGTTTGTTTGTTTGCAGGAATGTAGTCTGTTTTACTCCAAAAGGTTCTGCCTCCCCTGTGTGAATGAAAACCTGAAGGCATTTCCTATTGAAATACAAGAAGATATGGATAAAAGGAAGTCCCAAACAAAATCCTTCCCTTCTGAAAAAATGGATGCAAAGATTTAAATACTGAAGGACCGGGACAGACAGTTTTTTGGCCGCGGTTTTGCGTCTCTCCTTTTCCAGGCTATCATGTTGCTTCTGTTAAAGAAGTGACCTTCATCAGCTTGCTACTACAGAAAGGAGTAACACATTTCCTTACATTTGGCTTGGCTTCAAGCATCATCATGCAGTAGTTGCAGTGCCAGCAGCATGGCCTTGAGGTGTTGAAAAGCTCAGAAAGAAAGGCAGACAAGCCTGTTGTCACCACATTAAACGGATGCAGTAAAAAAAAATAAACAGCTCAAAGCAGAGGAAATATATCCAAATTTCACATTTGTTATTAAAATAATGTTTTGTGTTTTTCTTGACACTCCTACAGTGTTATGAAAAGGAGAGACAGATTTATCTGGCTTAATTCAGCACATGTCCATGAAGTCAGCATACACCAGACAATTAACCAGACAATGTGGTCTTTATAAGGTTACAGTAGGCAGGGAGCTCAAGTTTTATTTTTTTTCTGTATAAAAAGAAGCTGTTACAAGTAAAGATTTTTGAAGGTCATAATCTCAGTCCTGCTTCTGAATGTAAGTGCTCTTATAATAAAATGCCAGCTGATACAAGTCAGCAGTCACTTTCCACTCAAATGTCTAGTCCATGCCAAGATAGCAATGGGAGAGGTTAGGCAGCTTTACTAGATCGACTTTAGGCTTTGCAAGTAAAAATAACTTCCTATTCACCTTTACCTCAAAGGAGTCAGTATCTAGCAGGCTGCCTAACCTCTCCCATTGCTATCTGAAAATAGAAAAATTCAGATAGTAAACTCAGTTCTTTTCTGAATTGTTCAATTAAACTGCAGCTCGAGCTGGAAACCCAAGAACCATAGTTTTGATCACAAAAAAGGGTTAAAAATGTTAGGGGAAATATTGCTCAAATATTAACTTCATGATTATGTGTGTTGACAGTGTCTTAGTGACAAGCTTTGTATGGTATCTATTTCACACTACTTAGACACACTCTTTTCGACTGTATCTATCTGCAATGCTTTCCAGCCACCAGATCTCAGCATTTAGTCAAGCATTCATTGGGCATTGGTTAAGAAAAGATTAATACCTTGGTTAATGTAGCCCATTTTCTCAGGATATCTATCCATGTTGTCATTTGTCATATGTTAACATTTGAACTTAATCATGTCAGTAGGGTGAACCATGTATATGTTAACAGAACCCAACATAATTTCAGTAAGTTATTGTAAGTTATTTCAGGAAGGAATGAATCTTTCTTTTTATCAAACCTAGCATAGTGGTGATTTCACTTGATAACTTCGATGACTGGGATTTCTAGCAGTTACTGAAGAGTAACTTAACTTTAGAAGTTGTGGTTATTGTAAAAATACCATGAGAGATGCTAGAAAGAAAATGACATGTGTTTTCCATTTGAAAAGTGTAGTCATTTTAGTCAAGCTGACAAAAAAGAAAATCAACATAGTTACATGAGATTACATAGTATATCATTCCAGAAGTTTTAATTAATTCCTTTATTTCACAATGCTTATAGCAGGGGCTCTTTTGCTGCATCGCTTGAAAGTAGTCTTGTCTCCCATTGAACCATCTCTGTTCTCTAAAAAGTGCATTTATTCATAACCATTATGTTTGCCATTATGACAGAATAGAAAAACAATTTAAAGCTATCACAAATGACCCAATCTTTAAATAGCTGTAAATCTTACTCAGGCTGGAAATATCGCAAGTAACCAATAAAGTTCAGCTGTAGTTGCTTTACTGTTTTACTGCAGCGGAGCGGGGTTCAGGTGCTGCAACTATGGTTCGAGCCATTCTCGCCTACTTATTTAAGAGTACAATAGAAATAGCTAAGGATGCTGAGTGCTTTGTAGTTAACAAGTTACTCATAGCTTTTAGGTAAAGCAAAGCTTTGTGTCAGCATGAACCACAAATGATTCATTAGCCTGAGGGAGTGATGAAACCCCATTTTTGACAGACATAGTCTGTTTCATGTTTTAAGAAACATACACTAAGCTGCATGTAATTTGGTAGCTCTTCCAATGACAAAGAGTTAGTTAAAAAATTTAACCTTCCTGGCACATGCATTAAAACTTGTATCTACAGCATTCTAGTGATAAGTGATAAAACTGGACCTTATGATCCCTGTGTCCCAATTTATTATTAGATGATTAGTGTATATTTGATCACAGCCCAAGCCTCATCATGGACTTTCTGTCCATTTAGCCTGCCTTCTGTGCTGAGCTTTTGAAGTTTGAGTTTGTCAGGCTCCTTCAGTACTTTCTGCTGCTGAAAATAATGCCCTCAATGGTTCAGAGCACAGCTGGTGAGGAATCTTCACTCTCTGCCATAGCTCTTCTCCAGTGTTCTCCTTATCAGCTTTAATAAACACCCATATCTTTAGGGCCATAACTATCAGTTATGTTTGATAAAGCTTTCCCCCCTCTTTTTAATTTGAGGACATGCTCATCAAAGTAGGCAGTGTGCTACAAGTCACATAGAAGTGAATTTTCAATGTTTTTTGCCTCTCAAACTCATCATACATGGGTACAGAGAAGGATAGTAAGTCAGAGAATGTGACTGATGACACTTACACACATGACACACACACAGAGACACACATGTTCCTAAATTAATCTGCAAGGACCAACACTTTAAGGATTCTCCAAACTATCTTTGCACCTTTAAAAGATCCACATATATTATTAAATAGTATGCATATTTAATACAATTTCTCTGCAGCTATGTAGTGCTAAGCCAAAACGTCTGGCCCTAGTCCTACTGAAGCTTGCTTTTCTGCTCTTCACTACTAAAATCAGTACAAGTGCTCCCTGCTGTGACATTAAGCAGCCAGATGTTTTCTGGAGCAGGATCTTACATACCAAATAATTGAAGGCAAAATCATTCTGGTTGTTAATTGCTGTGGACATGGGAGAAACACCCATTCACTGCCCTGGTGTGGTGGCAGGAGTGATGGGCAGCACCATTCGCCCAGTGCAGTTGCAGCACCTCCCTCCTCAGCCTGAGTTCTGAATCTGCCAGCACTGACACACGTTATCATTGGAGAAGGTAAGYGGTTCTCCAAGAGTTCAGAGCAGAACCTTATTCATGCATGCACAGTCACAGAAAGAAGGATTCAGTTAAGACTTGGCAGCTGYTTCAGATAAAGTACGAGACAGTGAGCAGAGGGCAACAAATATATTTGTTTCAAAAAGACAACACATGACCAAGATTATTTTCCTGGAAGCAAATGATGAGTCATAAGTCATTAAGATTGCTTTAAAAATACTTTATTTTTCTTTTAAAACCATTAAGGCAAAACTGTATTTGAAATTAACCATCTTTCTTTACATTCAGTCTTAAAGGATGACTTCTTTTCAAGCGCATAGATTCCTACCAGTCTGCATACAGACATTATGAATTCTACCTCTTATTTTTAAAGAAGAGGAATAAAACTCAGTATGTAAAAAAAAAAAAGAAAAAGAAAATAAATTCAAGTTCTTCGTTCTAGATCAGTAGGCTGGCAACATTTGAGAATTCACCATCATACTTAGCAATATATAATTTTTTTTACATTCATGAGTGCAAGAGATTGTCTTTCCTATAAATCTCTGTGAGACCAGGAGTTTCGCTCTTTCTTGAACATGTCATTTGTACGGCTCTCCAAAATAAACTTGCAAACATAGTTTGAATTATTTGTATTTGACTGCAAAACAAGGCTACTCTGCAAAATAGGTTTGACTGCTCTCTGTAAGAAATGTCTGCTCCTCACAAGTTTCATATTGAACATAGTAAAAGACACCTAAGAAACATCATTAAAAAAAGGGGGGGGGGGGGGAAATTATCTGATTTTTCTTAAATACTGATATTTTGATGCAAATAAATGATTAGCATTTGGCAACACTTAAAAATAAAGGCTTCTGTGTCACTGCAGATAACAGGCAATTTAAGATATGATAATGGGCTTCAATATCGTGATGCAATTAAAATATAACACTCCTAAAGAAAATTCAGAGCAATTGTTCACAAAAGCTGTTAAAACAGCAGGAACAACATGAAATGTAGGCCACGTGAAGAACCCATCAAACAGACTTTATCAAAAAATAACAGGATCTTTCCCAAAACAAAATGGTAATACTAGAGCTTCGATGAGCTTTATTACTACCAAAGGAATAACTAAAGCCATGAACGGCCTTCCCAGCTGTGGAAGCGCGGGGACAAGTCGCAGCATCGTGTGCCCACACACCCCATGGACTCCGTGTGCCCATGCACCCTATGGACTCCGTGGGCCTCTGGGAGCGGGACAAGTGACTCCGTGGGCAGGGGATCTGCTGCAATCCGTGGGACGCGACACGGGCAGCTGAACAGGAGCGGCCTGCGGGGTCCTGGTCACCAAGCGGAGGCGCTGGCGGGCACGGGCATGTGTGGGCCCCACGGGCTGGGCCCCCATTGAGCCGAGGGGCTCAGGAGGGGCCAAGGCACTACCTCCGTGCTGGCACCGTGCAGCAAACGGTACCTGAGCTGTGCGAACGTGCCGGAGGCCAAAAAGTCTGGATCTGAGCGGCACTCGGCATCGTTACGTGCACAGGGCTCATCCAGCAATTTTGCTGCGGTGATCTTACAGTTCTGTTATGTGTCACAAATTTTGAACGCCTATACAGGGCTCCTACGCTGGGAGGTGGAGCAGATGGACATAATGCCAGTGTTTTGGTTGGTCAGTGTTTTCCTGCATCGCCCATATTCCTTTCAACTGTAACGAAAGCCATGCAACTTTTTGCACTGATCATCAGGCAGACGTCTTTTCCACAACAGAGATTCCAGTACATGCATATCCAACCTGAGAAAATTGACCCAAATACTTAAGGCAACTATGTTTCTTACGGCAAATTGTGCAGCCCTTTCTTACTATTTAGTACTCTGTTTTGTTTATGTAGCCTGCCCCTCTGGGCAGCAGCAACTCATCTGAAATCTAGGTCCTTGCGGTAGGAATTCTGAGCTCAAACATATTTCCCAGCAGTGGAATCTAACAAAATAGAGTAACATAATTAAGGTTAAGGAAGTCAAGATTAAACAGTCTTAGCAGTCGGAAAATCTCTAGAGAAAATTAAAAAAAAAAAAAAAAAAAGGCAAAAAACCCCTCACCTACCCTAAGATAATCAGGGAAAACAAAAGAGCAAATACGCTTTACCTGGGAAGGGGGTTGTGATAACTATGAATTAATATCACCTGTTTACAGTACAAAGACAGACAGATCGGATGGCACCTTTACTGTTTTTTCACTGCTGTCTGTGAAATTCAGAAAAAAAAGGTGTGTAGGTTACCATAAGAAAGTCTGGGATAGCTTTTATAAATTTGATAAAGTGGTCTTAATAGGAAGTTGGTACTCTACCAATGCAGCATAATGGCATGATGACTGTATAAACAAAAGTTTTAAGTTGTAGCACTTTTGGAAAGTACAATATAATCGTTTAAAAATCAGTTGTAATAAATGTAGATCATTTGTGGAACATCTGTGATATGCAGTGCTTGTTCTCGTTTCTATGTTACGAATAGAGCAAAACAAAAGTTACATCTTAAAAAGGTAATTCACTTTGCTCCTGTACCAGGATTAATTATCAATTAATCCTTAATTAATCCTTAATTAATTAGGGCTTTGTACACACAGTCACACCTGAATCACYAGTCTTAGAATCCCTATGGACAGATTCTGAATTCATCTATATTGAAAATCATAAAGAGAAAACTACAGGGGAAAAAAAAAAAGAAAAGAAAAAAGAACATGAGGAACTGAAGTTACGCGTACTTTGTTTTGCACTGCTGAATTACTTATTTTAAAATAATACATCTATAAAAACTAGATCATCCTCACTGCAAGTACCAAGAAATAATGTATACACACTTTTATTTCTAGAAAGACGTAAATCAGTTTCTCAGAAAATAACTGCCTATGAAGTACTGGTAGAGGCTACCCTTTCTTAGCTTTCTTTCCAGACTCTTAAGTAAAAGCAAGTGCTCTGCTGTGAAGCAAAGATGAACTTTGTTCTATAATCTGCCTTTCATATTGGTGAAATTTGAGCTAAAACCTTAATGATATTAACTCCAAATATTTCAGAATTACAGCTCTTCCCAACCTCAACTTACTTCTATTAACACCAAATAAAAGGAAGTCAATGCTTGAGGTGAAAATGTATTTTAAAATTTAGTTACAATTGTCAATACTAAATACTAATAAGCTGCAGAATTTGTGACACTTCCTCACAAAGGATACAGTAGTAAAGACCACAGAGGAATAAATAGCAGCTTGTCTTCAACTTCGGGCCCATCATCCTTACCCATAAAGAGTAACTCTTTCCTCGCTGTACAAAACAGTTCACAAGATAAAGTATGAAGCAAGTATTTAAMTTAAATAATTTACATATTTTTCTTAAAGCACCTTTGTAATATAATTTAGTGAAAGTTTATATCTTGCAATTATCTTCTTGTATTTTACAAACTAATATGTGAAAAAATGGTATTACATTAAAAAATACCGCAGTACATAATACCAATAATCTCAGATCAAGTCCGCATATAATTTAAATGTCTAGTAAAAGAAGGATGATAAAGTTGATTAAATATAGATTAAAAAAATATATGCAGCTGATATCAAGAAAGTCTTGAGATACAAGCAAGCATTAGATACCATGTTATACCTTACATTTAAACACTTTCAAAGAGATTAGTGATTTCAATTAATAACCACTATTTATAACATGTTATGCTTAGGTAATACCACAGCAGCTGCAAATGCGTTCGTTAAATGCAGTTCCAGATTTTCGATTAAGTACCATGGATGCTTTGAAGGAGAGAAGGAGATGAAATTGTTCCTCTTCAGAGACAGTAAAGGCAGCTACAGCGTAATCTTCTCCAATTGCTTTGTTTAAGATGCTGTGTAAATTGTCCAGGCTTTCCATTAGAAAGGAGGAGGAAATTCGGATTTCATAGTATGTACTCAGCTCTGTGAGGAGTATCTCCAAAGTTTTAGCAGTTCGAATAAACAAACAAATATTTAGTTTCTTATAATAAGCTCTTCCATTTGCAAACTTGTGCTGGTTCTCTCATGAGAACAGACTTAGTGCAACTGCTGGTATTTCCTAAATCTGTGCGGGCCAGAAATAATACAAAAATATGCTCTTTGGCAGTATGTCAGCTTTCTAGCAGCTGGCGAGAGCTAAAGCACAAAGGCACATGGAAATGAAAATTAAATGGAAAAGATTCCATTACATACAAGAAAGGTTCTTTTTGTATAACTCGAAAACATATTATCTATCATCTTCTTAAATTTAACAGATACAATGTAGCTGATTTTTTAAGGCAGTTGTGGGCTGTTATACTGAAAATAATACACCTTTTTAACAAAATATTAAAGCAAGAGATACAAACATACACCACATTTTCCATGATACAAACCCTTCCTTCTCTATCCCCTCCCCTTCTGTCAAGGTATCTGGAAAATCCCAACAAATCAAATAAATACTTCAATAATGAACAGGTTATAGGTTCACTGGAAGCTATTAAATTGTACCACTCTTTCCTAAGATTTTTCTCTGTCCTTTGTTGTATGTTGCCTTAAGCACTTTGTGGGTTTGGGATCTCTAACGAGGGCTCTTCGGTGCTACTGATAGTGAAAATAAATAAATGTAAATAATAATTAGATGAAAACTACACATAACAAGGCAGTAAATCTGTTAAGGGAAGAAAAAAAACCACCTCTTAAAATCTGACCCCACCCCCCATCCCCAGAAATGATATTTTAAAATAGTTCGTGTTCTGCCCAAGTTGGAGATGCTGGAGATGCCTCAGTAATAAATTTCCAACTTTTCAGACTCCAAACTTCTGAAGAACACAAACTGAGTCATTCTGAAATCCTATTGGCAAGCGCCTACTGCAGTCATCTGCTGAGGTAGCTAACGTACTTGGATAAAAGTGTAGTGTTGAAATTAAGAACACTGTGACAGAATCCTGTCACAAACTTTCACATCCCGGAGGTGTCTGTCCTATGTCACTCCTGGAAAATACTGTGGATATGGGTAGTAGTATCTGTCCAGAACTGTAGGCTACGCTAACATCTTGTTCCCATTTCTGTAATTCCTACGTGTATTGTTCCATACATTTAAAGGGCTATGATTTAAAACAGAAAACAATTTGCACTGTCTGAAGAACTATTCAAAAATGCTAGTCACTGAAATGAATTTCATTTTCAAATAATGAAACAAAACAGGTCTGGAACAGAAAAAAATGCAAATTATGCACTTCCTTAGTGTTTATAATAAGTCAGCAACAAGTAGCTGCTTAAAGTTATGATTTCCACTGAAAAAGGCTGTTTTCAATTGTATGTAACTTTGTCAAATTTAAATATTTACTTTTAAAAAAAATTTTGAATGTTTCAGTAAAGTGCAAGAACAGAAAAATATATTCTTGTCCACATTAACTGCGTCTAATTTTTCCAGATAACTTTAGTACATCCAAACTACGGAACAGAATTTAAAATTTTACCTTCTGCATGTACCTGAGCTTTGGGAAAAAAATTACACTTTCATTTTCCCAGAATAAACCTAAAATTATTGGAGCATCTATGTTGCCCTCAACTGCAGTGATCATGCTTGACCACTACACTCTTTGTACATACTGATGCATACGTACCAGCTCCAAATAATATGCCATCATAGAATAACTAGTATTTGATAATTTTTGAGCAAGCTTATCAACTCACCAACTACCTCAGTGTCGAATGTCTCCTGCTTAAAGCCCACATTTCATAGAGAAACACAGATGACTTGAGGAATAAAGAAGCATCATTCCTAAAATATCTTTGTTGTTACTGAGAGCAACTGCGTGCTGCTGTGACACACAAAGGATAACCCACTTCTGCACGATGTTTCCTGTTAAAGCTTGCAGCCTTCTCATGATGAGCTGTTAGAATATAACTAGCATTACTCCCTGCTGCTGACTCGGGAGAAGGGAAGGTACCTGACAGGGAAGGAGGGATGGTTCTGTATCTATGCATTTATTCTTTCCGTCCTGCCCAAGACAGTCACCGAATTCAAGGCCTATGCATTAGTATTTTGCACAATTGCAGTAACTAAAACCCCAGCTAATGGCCATCACCTGGATAAATATCAAATTGCTTTTAAGCCTGTAATTTATCCAGTGTCTAGCCTGTAAGTGAGCCTGTAAGAAACAAGTGTGGTGGCCAAAATAGAAACACAGTATGAGGTTCTCACCTTACCCGTCCTTGTTAATTCTTTCAATGAATGTTTAAGATTCTGAAACCTGCTACAATAAACCAAGCATTAAGTGCCCTCCTGTGCTATTAGGAGTTTAATTATTGTGAAAACACTGGCATTTCACTGACATTGTGAAAATATTGGCATCCAAGATCCTTGTGTTATGAAACAAACAAACAGATAGGGAAATAGCAGAACTGAATTACCAGATTAGAAGAAAAAAAAATGAAGCAGAAAAGAAATAACAGAGTCTTGAACAAATATGCAATTAAACTAATAGCTAGCACTTGCTTTYGCTTTTAGTACAAGAATCTATGATAAAGGATCCTGTTAAATTTCAAAAGTCAAGCTGTTTCATTTGGGCTCATTCTGCATCAGCACTAAGTAATTTTGTAAAACCAATGTTTTATCTTAGGTACTCAATAGATTTATTTACTCTCACCTGGGGCTCTCTTTCATGTATTACATAATTGACATCTACAGATGTTGCTCTTGCTAATACTGTCATCCATTATGATTGTATGGAAAAGTACAAAATTTGATTAAATAACATGATTAATATTGCTATGGACAAGGTATAAGAAAGAACAGCAAGTTTATCTGAGTGGATAATTGAAAAGAACAATACAAAATCATCTACTTGTCAGARAAGTAAAAAAAGTTTGAATCACTCTACACTGCAGAAATACCTGTCAAGAAGGAAGGTGCCATTCTCTTACAACRCTTTCCTCAGTATAAGCTATCATCCCAGGCACTAGAATGCTATGAAGTTGGAATTCATTTTCTCTGGGCTACAATTAGATTTCTTGGAGTCTCTCCAGAACTCCTGCCAATTCAAAGTGATATGTTGCTCAAGAACTGCATCTCAAGCTATTGCAAGCGCTCCAGAATGCACACAGTATCATATATTTATCCACAGAGATATTTCTTACTTCATTAAAAACACATTAAAAAAGGAACACTTTGTTTCAGGTAGTCATACAGACACCTAAACGGAGCACCTCTGCTGTACTTCAGATAGCTCTTTGGATTTTCTTTCATTTCATAAAAGAAATTGCTTTTCAACATGCTAATGTTGAAGTTCATCAATGTAGAACTACCTTAAGATCCACCCCCATACTTCTTGGACCTCAGGCGGCAGCACGTCAAAGGACTTTCAATTTTTTTAGATACATATGTACAGTAACATCCAAACACTGACACATACAGACTGATTGGCTTAAGAAAAAAGTTTTAGTTAGTTCTCGGTAATTGCCATCAGCCAAAAGTGCATAATCTTTATGATTGTTCATATATATACCTGAAGAGAATTTGCTGAATTTGTTATATTAATTCTGAAATGACTTAGCCAAGAGGAAATAAAGTTTTGTTCATTTCTGTTAATCAACATTCTGATTTATTGTGCAAATACATATTCCTTACCAATCCTCAAATTTCCAATAAATGAAGCCTTGCAAGCAACTTCATGAGCATTAAGATTGATATTTCTCTGCAGAACTCTTTCAAAAGAGGACAGAAGAACCCAAACCAGAAGTTTAACAATCTAGCTGTTAGATATTTCATGCTCCAGACTGAGTGAACAACAGATAACTGTGCAAGTAATTTTGCTCCCATCTATTATTAATATTGCTGTTGTCTTTAAATATTGTGGAAAAAAATAATAAAAATCTCTAGTACATATCCCTGTAGATTTCCTGTAGTAAAGGGTGTAAATGTGCATCAGATTCAGTCTTCTTAATTATCTGAACAAGCTGAGCATGTTCTGTTACAAGTTGTCGGAGGTCAGCCATTTTTTGAAGAAGCTTTGGGAAGAGGAAGATGTCATCAGGATGGTTGGTTTGCAAGTGAAGTTTCAGTACGTGCACAATGCTCTCTTGCATTTTTTCAATGTGTCCTACGTTTACAAGACCAGGACGATCTGTTCTCAAAACAAACAGGAGAATATTTGTCATGTCATAATTTTATAATTATTCTTTATTGTAAGTTAGCACATTAGACATCAAAAACAACAAGAATATTCCTATCAACTTTAATCGGTTTGGGATCAGGCTTGAGGTAAATCTTCTTTAAATAATAGTAGTTTTGACCCTTTAGACCAACTGTTTTTAATGTACATGGTCATATGAGGAGAGAGTTTAGGATGCTAATASATTTTCTGCTACAAAAAGTGAGTAGAAATAGAGCCTAGGAATCTAGGTCTGTATTCTGTATATCAGGATAACAGAATTCAAGCTGCAAGGACAAGGAGGAAAGCGTTTGGCTATTTCTAGGGAGTTCTCCAAGACCAGAATCTATGCATAAGGCCAAACCAAATGGGATTTCCCTTGCTTTCCATATTGCATAAGTTATTGACAGAGAAGCTGTCAATCTTAAATATTAAAATCCTAAACACATCTGACTGGACTAAGAGAAGCTAGCATGCTAAACACTATTAAGGGTGTTTCACGCTTTCCAGATATGATCCTATTTTCAGCTACTTATGATCCCGTTGCACCTTGACTCTCTAGATCCAACATATGCTAAAGTTGTTTCTTGAAAACTTATGGTATTTTGAAGGAGAAGGATAGGGGAAAAAAGAGTGTTTTGCCTGTAAACAACTCTACTGACCTCTGAAAAATTCAAACTCACTGTAACATGCAAAAGTAATTTAAAATATGATGTGGGCTTGCTTTATAAACTAGTGCATTGAATATTTGAAAGCCTACAGATTACATCTCTCTTCTTGTTATTGCTGAAGATGCAATGAGAGCACAGGGAAGTGTTGCCCTATGTGTTTGGCAGGAAACAAAAACAGGCAGTTGCTGAAACTATTTTGATTCCTTATTTTCCTTTTCAAAGAGTTTTAAATTTAACTTTAAAAATAAATGTTCTTTACTTTTTGGAGAGAAAATATCTATCTATCTATATCTATCTATCTGTCTCTATATATAAAGATCATAATCGTCACACAGGAACTGCATCAATAGCACAGCACGGTTGTGCAGAACTTGTTGAACTTTGACACTTGCTGACTGGATCACCATGTTACAATCTGCATATGCCTCTAAAAACAGAGCAGAAAAGGCCTATTGAGTCATACTAACAATCTTATTACATAGTATTTTTCTGCCCATGCCACAGATAAAAGTGGCTTCCTACCCAGATTGTTTCCTACCYAGTCCTAAATCTCCAAAACAAACAGAAAAATAATCAAACCCCATAACACTCTTCATGTCCTACTTTTAAAAACACGTAGCACCCTGGGGGAGGCTAAGCAGCAGGGCCATGCATGCATACAGTTCTGCAATGCAAAATAGAGATTCAGGACCATAACAGGGATGCAGTATCTTCTGTGAAACACGCTAAAAAGGAATTGCCGTTGTTAGAGGTAGAACTAAATCTTTGGAATTCCATCAAGTGCAAGGCATAAATAAATTTTTCCTTTGAAATGATTAATACAGGTGAAGAAAATCTTAACAGATACTACCTAAAGAATATGTATTGCTTACCTCCACAGCAAATGATAGCAGCCACAAAAAGGGATATATCGCTATCGTCCAACTCCAGTGCATTGAATTTCATTGCAAAATCAAATTTTGGCTCCATTATATCACAGAACGGCTTCCTTAGGCTTTTCAGGAACTCCCGGGTTATAAAACCGTTTCCATAGGCTACCAGCATCCCATCCTTGTTCATTACAGAAGCTAACATGGCAAATATGGCTTCATAAACTCCGTATTTTAACAATGTCACTTGATCATTCAAGTCAAGATTGGAGAAGCCAGGGATGGATTTGGCAAACTCGGTAAGTTCCGTGACAGTCTCTACAGAGGTGCACTGGCAGCAATGGAAGATTCGAACTTCGGCTTCCTTATTCTGAATTCCATTGGCTACCAGTTTTGCCACCAGCGTCTTCTCTGCCATACACAAGGTATCCATGTCATGGATAACGAATGGCTGCAGAGCAGAAAGAAAACAACCCTTGAATTATTTCATATTTCTGCACCAGGCGTAACCGGGTTTTAGAGAACTGTCAAGAGACTTCTCTGCAAACAACAGTGCAAATAAGAAAATGTAAATACACATGACTACCTTTTACATAGTTATTTTAGCTGGTCAGTAGCTGCAGTGATGATCCAGCAGCACAGGGTTTATTACTGTATTTATGATCCCAGACAAAGTTCCAGAAGGTTCTCAAAAAATTTGTATTACCTTCTCCAGAAGCTCACATTATGCTACCTGCTTTCCTATCAATTATTAATTCAATAGTTAATCAATTAATCAATCAGTTAATAAATGAATCAATAGTTAATTCAGGAGAATTAACTAACTTGATGCCTATCATGGTGCTTTAGTGAAATATCCTATCATGGTGCTTTAGTGAAATATCTTCCTCTAACTATATGACATTTAAATATAGGCACTGATTTAAATATAGGACAGAATACTGACACACTATGATGCCTCTATTATTCTTGCACTTTATTGTAAAATAATCATAAAGTATATTCCAGCTACTCTGCTCATTTCATTATATGGAAAATAGGTATTGCCCAGAATTTAGGAGCCAAATTTAAACATGCCACCTCATCATTAGGAAAAACAATCTGTTACAACATGCTAGTTTTAATCATTGATTGCTTTTCACTTGCAAATTCATTAACAAATATGCAGACCACTATTCTCTGGTCAACCAGATGACTAATCTTAAAACCAGTACCTTAAATTAAAAAATTAAAATCTAATGATACAAAACCTCAGCATTGTAGAATCCCAACAGATATTGTTACTTACAACTACGTCATGTAATAACAAGCTTGTAAAGAATTGAATGCAGATTACTTGGTAAGGTGTTAAAGCATCATAAGTACCATAGGTCTATATATGCTTGTAACCTCTCAGAACTCACACTTAAAAAATAAAGCCTCTCATTAATCTAGTAAGAGAGATGGGAACTAGAACTATTCATATTTCTCTTTTAAGGTAAAAATTTGTATGCTTGGCTACCCTGAAGGTATAATATAGTATCTCATCTTCCATTATTTAGAAAACATCTTGCTTACAAATTTCATAACATCCCACATTTTTTATTCTGGTAAATGTAAAATCTTCTCCGCCTCCACATGCATCTTTTATGAAGCTGCATCTCTTATTTTATCACTGTTTTTATCTTCTATATATTAATATAAATCATAACAGAATTTTTTAAAATTACACCTGAGAATAAAACAAGTCAGACTTTACATTGGTTATGCTATCTCATGTGCTACGAAACAAAAAAGTAGTTGACTACACTAGGCAGCCCAAACTCCTCAGTGGCTATTGATGACTTTTTTTTTTTTTTTTTTTAACCATATTCAATCATTTATAGGAAGTTTAAGCCAGATTGTCAAAATTGTTTGGCTCAGAGTTAAATTTCAAAAATGTTGTACAACTCATGAGTAAATATTACAAAACTACTTATTAATCAGTAATGATCCAAGAACCTAAAGTAAAAATTCACAGAGGGCATCCACTATTTGGTCCTTATCCACTATTAAGAGCTTAGCTAAATTATCCTGTAAGAAAAAATAAACAAAAAAAAAAAAGAAACCCACTCTGCAATTTATATGTTTTCTTAACCTTGTTTGCTTCTCCCTTTCAAAGTAACCACAGAGTTACGACCCAGAAGGCCAGGTGAAGAAGTAGTCAGAACTCTACRTGAGTTTACACAAAGTGTTACAAACTTTTGAGTTCTCTTTCCACTCTTACCATTGCTTTTATTGTGCTTAAAACCACTGTAAAACAAAGCTCTCCTGTATATCCTTATATACAGAGATAGCAATATTTATCCTGATATTTGTGGGAGAAGAGTATTATAAAATTCCATCGCCCAAGAAGAGGGATTCATATTAATACACCACTTTCTAAGTTTTTTTTTGATTAAATGATTTTCTTATGCTTCCCTCTATATTATAAATCAAGTCTATGAGCTTACATTGGATTATAACCAATAGTTTATTCATCTGATTTTTCCCAAAGCTTCTTACTCTGATGCTGTCTTTTTTTGTTGCTGTTGTTGTTTTGGTTTTGTTTTTCTTGCGTATTTTACATCTCTATTAATRTGGTAACATCTAAAAGATTAGCTTAAGTGCTGAACAACGTTCTACATTTCCTTGGGTATGTGCCAATTTTAAAGAAAGTTACAGGAGGACTACTTACTGGATTGTTATTAGTCTTCCCAGCAAGAATGACTCTGGCTTTAACCTTGTTCATATTGAAGTTTTTCAGGTAGGCATCATGAATTCTTTTGGCAAGTGATTTAAGATCTGCCATTTCTGAATCTTCTACATAATTTTCACCTGTTAGAATTTCTGCTTTTAACTTTGCCTTCTCAGACCTTGGCATTCGTCCAAAACGTATTGCTGATGGGGAAGACATAATTGTAAAGAAAAAAAAAACACAAGTTAGACAAAATGTATGCCTTTTTCCATTGCTGATTAGAKCAATAAGCTTATCTACAAAGACAGAAGTAGAATATTTATAGAATTTTTATTATCATAAATTTACAAATGAAATAATTTCATTGTTTCCAACAGAATCAGTGACCAGTTACCAAGTCAGAATGCTACACTGAAGGTAATCAAAGCATTTCAAAACACAAACTGGTATCTGTCCTGATCAGGAATACATGCCCTCTCCCTTCTACGCAGGATACGTAGTTGGATTTTTCCCCTCCTTAGTACACTCTGCATCTAAACTCCCCAACATGAAACTCAGCAACACCTACCAGAACTCTAACAGCAACTGAGTGAAGTTATGTGAGGAGCCTGACTGCCTGTACGTATGTGCTGGCTGGAGATCTGCCCAGGCAGTGCCCTGTTCAGAAACACTGCACAGAGATGGGCCCCAGTTCTACTCCTCATTCTGAACCTACTGGGGCATTCAGTTTTGAACACATTGGCGATCCAGTTCAACATGCCTGTACAGCCTCCTGAAAGCAAAATAGTCCCCAGATCTATGCTCAGATCGCTAGGTTATAGCCCAAAACTCCTTCTCCTAGACTCAATATTTTACAATTCTCTGTAGAGAGACTGGTCCAGATGAGAGCAGGCTTTGATTAAACAATCTAGAAGCGAGGACGTTCTCTTTGAAGGAAGGAGATGCAAGTTTGCAATGCATGTGAGGGTCTCCCATTTCTTGTATAGGTGCTCTTACACATTTCACTGATAAAAGGTACTTCCATAATCTTCAGTTTCATCTTAACACTAAATTAACTCATTTTACAAGCAGCCTTATCCTCCAACGCGATGTAGAGTTTGGAAACAGCCAATATAGCTAGTAACTCTTGACTTGTTTCCATAACTAATCAGTTGAATGATGGACCTCCATGCTTTGAGCAATTCAAACCATGTTCATACAATTAGCACTTCATGGACCCAAGGGATTTTTCTCCTGACATAAGGAGCTCACTCTAGGCGTGATGCGAAATGCAGTTTTGGAATGCAGTGGGAGGCCTCTCTAACACGGGAGGACTGTACTGAATTGGGCCATGGATCTACTGGAAGACTGAAACTTCTAGTTTTAATGTCATGGTGTCACAGCTATAGATTTACTTCTGAGTATTCCTCAGAAGTACTACCCACAAGTCAGTGTTCTTCTCCTTTCACTGTCACCTTCCTAGATGTTTACTCCCCCTTTCTCTTGGAGCACAGACACATATCTTTTTAGTAGGCTAAAATAACTTCAGCTGAACACCAGTCCCAACCAACACCATGCATACTAGCATAGCTCTCTACTATACACTTGCCCCTGAGATATCACTCTGTTGCTGCACAGTCTTTCCAAGTCTGCCACTTAAGAAAAGCTTTTACTAACCAAAATTATAAAACATCTCCCAGTGGGGCATAATCATAATCTCTTTAAAAACTGGTTGAAGTGGTCTTGTAAGCCACGAGTGTAGGAGTTCTATGCTCAATTGTTAACCAACTTGAAAATGTTATTGTTTTATCTAAATGCGCTTAATTATTACAGGCAACCTACCAGACTCCTGTTCCAGAGTCAGCAGAGACCTTCCCTTCCCCCATAGCCCCTAAACCATCTGCTCTTACACTGCAACCTGCAGCATAACAAAGTCCAGCATCCCGCAGATTTCTAGTCTGCGTTATTCCCTCCCTCCATGAGCTCTTTCTCCTCCTACTCCTGGAATCTGTTTCTATGGGACCAATAGAGCCAAAGCTCTGGCTAGAGGCACCTAATGAACATTCATATGGACAAACAATTGACACAATTGTGTAGATACTTCTGTGTTCACAGAAGTACATTTGGCAGCTGTGTCAACTGGATTAGCTAGCCATTGGTGAAATTGGTTCATCGCCACTCCATATCATAACAACTTGATGTTCAAATCATATCAGTAAGCTTCTTCCAGAAGCAGATCCTGGATAGGAACACACAAATGATAAGGGCACTCTTACCTACCATTATGTGACATTCCAACTGAAAGGCACTTTTGAAATCGACAGTATTGGCACTTATTACGATTTTTTTTCTGAATTTTGCAGTTGCGATCACATTTATCATAGATGAGTTTTAATCGAATTGTTCTTCTAAAAAAACCCTATAAGAAGTTCAAGAAAACAACATGTAATGTTAAAGAACATTAACTACTGAATTTTAATTGCACAGTGTTCTTTTGTTTTGATCTCCTTTTATTGCTTATTGCTGTAACCAGGAAAACAATAGGCGAAGCATAATCTGCTCAAAGGTAAAAATCCAGCCTACACAGAGAAATGGTGTATCTGAATGCATGTACAGAATCAAAGAAAAAGAAAGAAAGTACAGAAAGAGGGAGTAAATCTAAGCCTTCTTTCTTGGGAAAGACAGACAAGAGTCTGTACCTGCAAAGTTAGTCTTAAAGACTAAGCAAAGCAGTCATGTCTTGCTTTTGAATGCATTCTCTCAGCCCATTTTCAGACACAATCTTAGTCTTTCATATGTGTRAGCCACAAATGCACAGATTTTTCACATTTTTAATCCATCCAGCAAATGTATGCAGTGTGACAACATAATAGAGCATACAGAAAAATCCAAGGTTCCAAAAAGCCCTGAGCATTACAAAAAAAGGCAACAAATCTTGCATGGCATCTTGATACTGCAGTGTAGCGCTAGGCTTATACTACAAAAGAGTGGCAGTGTTATCAAAACTAAAAACATTGTATCATCTTGCCCTACACGACATTAGGACATAGTTTCGGATATCATTTAGATGGTGGGGCTTTAGGACCATATCTGATTTTCAAATGTCTCTTACATCAAGACTGGTATAAGTTTCTGTATTTGTTTCTAGCATTATTCTGTAAAATTTGTATTTGCCTTGTCATCACCTGACCCAGATTTCATGGTGAACATGACAACAAAAAGTGTCTAAGTCTGTGTGTGTTTATATTATATTATATTATATTATATTATATTATATTATATTATATTATATTATATTATATTATATTATACATGTGTATGTATATATTACATATATATGTGTATACATACGTGTGTGTGTATATATATACGCATACATACACACACACACACATATGTGTGTGTGTGTGTGTGTATATATATATATATAAAAAACACACAACAACTTTCACTCACCCTACATTAGAATTTGAGCATGGAGGAAAGAAATGTAAAATAAAAACTTCAGAACAATAATATAATTTCTGGGTAACATCATATATTGGTATATATATTATTGATAATATGAATTTCCTCAGAAATATGCATTCACTCAAAAAATACAAGAGGTAGAATACTAAATGATTCAGGCAGAATGTGGTGGAGATGAGAAATGCAGGATTTGTTGCTGTATTAATGGAAATGTAAAAAATTCGCATGCTTCTCACAGCTATACTTGCAACACAAATAAAACACTAGTGGAGCAAGTAGGCTTTGGGTTTTGGTCATAGTTCAGTGTTTTAAGTTGTTTTATTGTTTAACTAGATTTTTTCAGAAAAGCAGCATTAAAATTGTGAATTGCCTCTGCTTGATGAAGGTCTGGTATCAAATTATGGATCTAAACAAATTATTTCTCAATTATTTCACATATATGCTTATTACTTCAATAATTTAAATGATTAGAATTATATTAATTAAATATTTATGAAAGAAATGTTCATATAGCTCTGCAAGTAACGCAACATGACTTAGGCTCTTAAAAAGAAAATTACCACTGTACCTTACAACCTTCACAAGCATGTACTCCGTAATGGTAGCCTGAGGCTTTATCCCCACAAATTCTACATTCAATGTTTAATGCTCCACTGGGTGATTCATCTATGCTACTTGGAGCTGTGGCAAAATTAATGGATGAAGGACTGGATGCTGGTGAAAGGGTGTCTAAAAGAAAAAGGAACACTTCATAAATACTACGCTAACAACATTGGTACCATTTCTATACTAAATCCACCCCAGAATTTCTATTTAAAAAATAACCAAGCATTAATAATCATTAAGTGAACTAATAATTTGACAATGATGTGTTTGAAAAAATATTTCTTATTTATACTCACAGWGCAAACAAATATAAAATATATGGTGTACATTGCTAATTCTGGTGATATGTACAACATGTACAAACAGACAAAATAAAACGTGACTGAAGTCACTGATAAGAAGCAGAAGAGTGATAATGGTTCTTCAATAATTATATTACTACTCTTTGCACAACATAAGAAAAATATTCCTTTTTTATTTTAAACTTTTCATTGAAACTTCATTTTTTCAATATGATGGGAAGACTTTTTAATCCTATAATTTACAATAAATGAACAAAAGGTACTGAAATTATTTTTARTTTAAATCAAGAAAGCTTTCTTAACTATAAAAATGAACATACACTATGTTCACTATGCACTACGCTCACTATTTCAAGAATAGCTCAACAGTTGAAATTGAAACCCAATACTCAACATGCATCTGTTGCTCCAGACAAATAGTGGAAAAATACACAAAAGAAAACAAAACAAAACCCCCACCATCAAGTTTGTATTACAAAATCTATTCCAGCTGTTGCTCGCTCCTTCCAAAAGAGTTACTAGAAGTTCATCATACCATTACATCCTCCATCTCTCATGTTTAGCTTTCAGAATCAAATCAATGCCTACGGTATGATAAGCAACGTATTCCTAGCTCAACTTTGAGCTGGCCCACACTTGAAAATACACTTATAAGACCCACTGACTTCAGAAGACCTATTTATGGGTTTAAAGGTTGCCTTAAAGTTAAGCATAAAAAGGAGCTATAGAATTTCTCTTTCTAAACAAGATATATTTTCTCAAGGACCCAAAATGGTAATTCTTCATAACCAGGAAGAGACTACACAGTTATTAAATGGTAGGTAAGTTTCTGCTTTTAAGATAACTTAGCAATGGAAGTCTTGCTAAGGTATTTTACCTTTTGAGTATATTAGGAAAAAAAAAAATAGTTGTACAATGATCTACGCTGTCCAGACATTTAGACATCTTGCTATCAGATGAATATGTTACAAAATGAGCACATCCCAGTTTAAATTATTTCAATTAATATTTCCACTTTGCTTGAAGAAAATATTTGTTGAGGCCAAAATTTCTTTTATCTTACATCTCACAACTTGCACCACACAACATTAGCAAATTAATGGGTGTGTTCTTTTAACAGAAAGATTAAGAAACACTCATGAATGTAGGTCAGCAAGTATTATTTTGGAAAAAAACCTGGCGTAGAACTCAAAGTCTACATTGCCAGCACTGCTAAGCCCACAGGCATCAGAATAACCAAGAAACAGCACAAATACTGGGATTTTTTTTTAACTATGATTTTTATTTCTTTTCATTTGACTTGTCAAATTTGTTCACATTTTCCACCTTCCCTGCAATGAAAACGAGAACTTTTTCCAAGGGACACTGAATACTCAAAGTAAGAATGTAACACTAGAAACTGATCCAAGTATCACAAGACTTATATACACAAATAACATAAATCTCATAACTTAAAAAGCCATTATCAACYGAGTTCATCTAAAATTTCCCTGAATAAGGCCTATCTCTGGGTTCGGGAAAGATTTCCATGAGAGAGGGACCCAAACCATATTTTTACAACCATTTCTTTGGACAACAGTGCCAAAATGCTCCTCTCCCCCTCCCTTCAAAGCTCACACGGTTCATTCCAACCGCTGTAATCCAGGGCATTCCTCGACTGTGTCAGTGCAGTTTCTGTGAGGTATAAACCTARAAACTGATTTATAGTGTTTGAAAAAGGAAAAAAAAAAAAAGAAAAGCATCTGAAAAATAAATCACAAACTGCTTACACTGTCTCTATTGCTGAAAGGTTTGTAAAACAGCAGTTTCAGTGAGAGACTGACATTATTGCAGTGTCCCATAACTTTTCAACAAATTCCATTGAAATCCTTCACACAAAATCTCACACAGTCAAAGATCTTTGGGCTACTGACCATGTAAAGTATTAGCAATCCCAGATGAGTTGCTTTAACCATGGTAGAAGCTATTAGTTGAATAATGCTGCTCTCAAGAAGGRGGGGAAATCAGCAGATTAAAAGCATCAGTACCTTATCATGTACTAGAAATCTAGGTGGTACTTTTAAGGGTTAGATTAGAAATAAAATTTTGAAGTACATTTCAAACACATGGTCTGAAGAAATTTAAAGACCATAGAGTAGTTTTAATTGTAATATTGCAATATATATATATAGAAATATATATGTATATCATTTTCTTTGCTAGCAGGTTTTAAGAGTTATTTTGAAAATGGATTGATACTAATGATACAATTTTAAAATTGTCATTAAAATTGTCATTAAAATTGTCATTACAATTTTAAAAATGTCATTATGTCATTACACATATCAATCATTTTTCAGGAATTTTGCCTTATAAATTAACTCTAGCCTTAAATGTTGTAAGGCTAAGCTATAATCAAGTCATTGTAATGTCATTTATTCATAAACAGCAATTACTWTTTTTTTTTTCTGACATATATATGTATAAAGCATTTTTACATACTCAAATTCTTACCTGTTATAACTGATCCATCAGATCCTGGACCATTTCCCAATGATTGGAACTCTGTTAAACTTAGAGCTCCAGAGCTATCATCGCCCAGAGACTGAGAGATGTCTTGAATGTTCTCCATATCTTGTAGGAACTCTCCAGATAAAGGGCTGCCTATATCATCCTCCTCCAATGAAGTAAGTAGATAGAGCTGGTTTTCAGTGTCCACCATTTTGGTCAAGCAGAGCTTTTTTACACTGGTGAAAGAAATAAAACAAAATCCTGTCCTTAAAATATCATAATTAATTTCAAATTTGTTACATTTGCATCAGTTACTTCATATCAAATAAGTGACTGCTAAACTGAAAGTAAAATACTACGCAAAATTCTGTTCTAGAAACTTTAAAAACATAATTCACTGACAGAGTAGAAAAAAAGATGTCCACAAAATATTTCACTGTGAAGAAAAGCTATGACAAAATTAATTCGCAAGTTCTCTCCTCTACTGTTCAAAGTGATAAAATGTTTCTACAGCACACTTTCTATTATACACTTCCCACCAAAATTGATAGAAAATACAACAAATTCATAACAAATATGAACATACATACATACTTTACAAGTATTTCTCACATTATCTGAGGTAAAATAGGGCTTAACAAGGTTAAATATATGGATTTTCTCCTATTTTCAATTTGTCCAAAAGGTCTTATGACACTACAGAAGACAAAACGCTGCCTTAAACTATAATCCTTATGAAAACGGGCCAAACAAAAGCTTCTTGACCTATTCAGACTGCACTTTCAACATGAGTGTTCAATTGCATGCAATTTAATGGAGCTGTACTTCTTAGAGTTAGTTTTATTACCTACAAAAAAATTCATTTTTAACATTATTCTCAAAATAAGCCACCAGTGTTATCAACTTTAAATAGAGGCACAGATTCATTAGAAAGTATATATCCTAATTCACAAATTTTATTTTTGTTGACTCATCCTTCTTTGCATTGGTCAAGTTATTCAAAATATGCAAATTGGATCTGTCAAATTCAAGTTGGAACCATGTCTGATGAGTAGAACAAAACAAATAATACAGTATATAAGAGTTCAAGAAATTATTTCAGTTTTATGTGTCAATTTATCTTTCTGTGAAAGATAACACATCTGATAATTGCACTCAGGTTCACAGAAGAAAAAAAAGTTCTTACTGAAATAGTGTCTGGTTAGATTCGTTTTCCTGTAGCTCAGGAAAAGACTGTTAAGAGTGTTTAGCTTGTAGCACCTTTTTTTTCCCCCCAACTCAATACTATTGCATAGCAAAGATACAGATTTTTCTCCAGGGTAATGACGTAGCTTACACCCGAAATAACAGAACTAAAGGATTAGCAGACAAAAATACACAGCAAAACCCAGTTTCTGCTCATTTTATTTAGTTCTCACACTGAAATGAAATTCTTTATGAAACACTAAAGAATACAAGATCTGTCCAAAGCAGCTGAGAGGGCCAAGTTTTTAGAAGTTTTTTTCATTGTACTTGGACTATTAAAACTAAGCCAAAGAATATGAACCATTCTGAAGACAGAAAACTGAAAGGAACACGCTACAAGAATCACATTTCTAAGTATCTGATGTTAGAAACAAGATAGAATTCCACTCTCCCTTATTGAGTAGGAAAAGACTGATATTGTCAGTGGTTTTTACTGTTTTATTACCACATACTACAGGCCACATCTAGAGACTGTGTCCAGTTCTGGGCTCCCCAGGACAAGAGGGATGCGGAGCTGCTGGAGAGAGTCCAGCGCAGGGCTAYGAGGATGATCAGGGGCCTGGAACATCTGCCCTGTGAGCAAAGGCTGAGGGAGCTGGGCCTGTTCAGCCTGGAGAAGAGAAGGCTGAGGGGGRACCTGATCAGTGTCTATAGATACCTCAAGGGAGGCAGYGAGGAGGAGGRGGCRGCCTCTTTTCAGTGGTGGCCAGCGATAGGACTWGAGGAAACGGCCACAAATGGAAGCATCAAAAGTTCCACAGGAACTTTAGGAAAAATTTCTTGACAGTGAGGGTGACAGAGCCCTGGCACAGGCTGCCCAGAGAGGTTGTGGAGTCTCCTTCTCTGGAGATCTTCCAAACCTGCTTGGACGCAGCCCTGTGCCACGTGCTCTGGGTGACCCTGTGTGTGCGCAGGGGGGTTGGACTCGATGACCTCTGAGGTCCCTTCCAACCTTAAGGATTCTATGTTCTATGATACAGAGATCTTGAGTAGCCACTTCTTTGCCTGATTTCTCAGAAACAGGCTAGTTGTAACCAAAACCGGGAAAGATCATTTGACTATACAGAAGGCATTCTTAGAAAAAAAATTCTCCCAATTATCTCTTTTTGCAAAATTCATTTTATTTCAACTGTTGTCGGGTTGAGTGAAGAAGTACAAACGAATATTGATATAACAATAGTATATCTGTTTTGAGTCAGTATCTTGTAGTTGCATCATTTTAAAAAATGCCAAACCATGGGCAAAGTAAAAGTGTCCAATGAAAATATGTTCTGTAGCACATGCTGCAGCAAATAATGCCAAGGAAACTAAGAAAGGTAACTTACTCATGATTGGGAACACCAGTTACAGACAACATGCCATTATTGATGTGTCACATTTCCTCTTACACAGCTTGGCTCTATTTGAAAGACAACAATAAAATTAAACTATCMATTCTGATATACCGAGTATTAACGGTGACATTGCATAAAAGAGTGGCAGCACCTTTCAGCAATCTGAAGGTTTTCAAGTGCATCTCAATGTCTTTTTGAAGGGATGGTTTGAAAAGACGGTGAAGCTGCTGTATTTTAGCAAAGTTGATTCCAATTGTCCTTGTCGTTCAAAGTTCAATAGCTAACCCACCTCCAGGAACCACCTTTCTTTCTCACACAAATCCTACTGACTTGTGACCTACCAAAATATTAAAAGTATCAAATATAGATATTTCTTAAGACTGACAGAAGACATTAATTTTAAAAGATGATTGTAGCTTTCACGATCACAGTTACTGAATAAGAAAAAATATCAGAAATAATATGAATGTGGTCTCTACAACAACCCCAATGTTTTAGGAATGGATAGTCATACATTACACAATTTATCAAACTGCAAATTACCTTACAAAGATTTTATTGTTAAACTATCCGCATATATTCAGAACAATGATTCCAATCTCATAAAGACCAAAGATGCAGACTAATTTTGCAGAAGTGGAGTGCATTCAAAAAATTTCACACACACACACACAAAAAAAAAAAAAAAAAAAAAAAAAAAAAAGATGTAGGGGAGGAAAGAAACAATTCAAGTCCCAGATTAACATCATCTGCTGTCCTCTGCTAATGCTTTCAGCCTTGGATATCGTTGTACAATTTGTCTGTTGAGACATTAGGAACCAGCTCATTAACACCTAAAACTAACTGTATTGTTTGTTGCTTATTGTTAGTTATTGAACAGAGTCCAAAGAGGGGGGCTTCCATCATTGCATTAGGCACTTCTCCCTCCTTCCGTCCCCAAGACGGACAAAACATTAGCATCATTATTCTATTTAGAGAAATGCTTTCTATGCATTTCATTTGTAAAAAGCAAAGTTAAATTACTATCCCCATGATGTGGCTATTTGTGATAAGGGAAAGGTAACAAAAGGTTTTTTTTGCAACAGCAGCTGAGAAAAACAGCAACTGTTCTCTGGCAACTCCAAAGGAGTCTAAAAAATTTGTCTAGCCAAGGAGTCATCAACAAGAAAGGAAGAAAAGAATGACCAAGAATATGACCAGCACTGTTCTTGCAAGGGTGTTGCACAAAGCTTAGAAAGTTGGTCTTAGTAAGTTGGTCATGGCGCAGAAATACTATACTGCTCCACACACACGTAGGAAGATACTCTGTCCGAGCTTGGCAGCTAGGGCAGTTCCAGAAGGCACTAGGCTCCTTGTAGCCAAATGCTACTTGAAGTTCTCTAYTGAACGATACACATCTCTGTAAGCATTATTTCTTAGTCCAACACAAATAATGTTTAAAAGACTAACTTCACTTTAAATAAGATAATTATTTGACAAGAAAGCAAAGAAAAAGCTTGATATCTGAACTCTGGACATGGCCACAAGTTTTGTTTCAGTACATGTCCCTTACTATCCAAATTGCATAATTTTTCATATTATTTACAGTAAATATTTAAAACCGACCATTCTTTGTAGCTAAACTTACATAAGGTTAGTGAAGTTAGCTAGCGAAATGTAAGTGAAATGCTTATTCTTTTAACTATAAAATTACAATCCATCTGTACTTTCAAACTGTACCAGTTAATTACAGTTGTTTAATCTTTATGGCTCATGTCAATGGTTAACTAGCTAAATTAGCAAGAAGAGCGATTCAATGGTCATTTTCTGAAGACTATCACAACATGGATACCATTTTTTTTTTCCATTATTAAACAAGTCACAATACCTTTGCCTTTATTTTAATTTCCTGTTTTTTCAGAAGCACAGAAAACCTTAAACTAAAAATAAACCAGAAAAAAAAAAAA